ATATGGTGTGTGACCTGGATTGGTACATAAGAATGCTTGTTATCCCGAAAGAAATTTTAAGGTTCCAGTGGGATATTCAAGAAACTAAAATAATAAATTCAGAATATGTACTTGTTATGATATAATCTGTTTTATGCAGTGTTCAAGTAACTTGATGGAAATCATTGTATATTCTGTATACATATTTTGTGAACTCAGTTACACCGTAATTTTTAAAGGAGCCCCGTAATTGGCCTTTCTTTATAACTAAACTTGTAACAAATTTGTAACTAACACGCTGTTGGTAACTTAAAATAAATTACACTCTTTTCAATTGATTTCAATACACATAAAAATTAAGCTCTCACTATGTATAGAACCATACATTTTTAGGGTTCTGTACCTCAAAACGAAAAAACGGAACACTTATAGGATCACTTTGTTCTCTCCGTCCATCCGTCTGTCAAGACCGTTTTTCTCAGGAACGCGTGGAGGTATCAAACTGAAATTTATATCTAATACTGATGTCTACTGTCCCTTGGAGCTGTGAAAAAATCAAACTTCTAAGCCCAAGCAATCAAAAGATACAGCCGCAAATTTTCGAAATTCGCACGGGAATCAAAACCTACATGGTACTTCCCGTGAACTTAGAATCTTGAAATTTGGTACGAAGTAACGTTTTACAGTCCAAATTAAGGAAATTTCCAAATTGCGAAAACCGTAAATTTTTAGTAACATCATAAAATAAAAATATTTTTGAAAATTTTAAAGTTACTTTTTTTGTATTGCAATTGTTTTTGAAGTTATACTTCTTTAGCCGCGTTATGAAAAAATTATGAGAGTGAAATTTTAAGATGCGCGCGCATCACTGTAACATAAAAGTAACACAATGAAGTTAGCCGCGGGCGCGTTATGAAAAAATGATGTGAGTGAAATTTCGAGATGCGCGCGCATCACTGTAACACAATAGTAACACCATGAAGTTGGCCGCGGGCGCGTTATGAATGTTAGTGGTTAATAATCCACCATTATTAGACATCTGTTCGAAAGGTACTTTGAACGATCCACGGAGCTCCATAAGATGATCGCGTTGTCAAAAACAATGTTGGCACGCTCGTCGCCTCTGATCACTGTTTTCATATTTATAATATTTATCCACATGTTTCTAGTTTCTATATAGACACAACGTGTTTTAGTTACTTACAAGTGCTAATTACATATGGACTAATAACTTAAATTCAGTAGTGATTTTAATTGAATATTTTGAATATTTATTTAATTTTTCAAATTAAAACTGAACTAAATTGACTGTGTTAACTATCCTTTTCCAGTCCTTTTATTATTTTATTGTAATTATTAATTATTTGCATGCAATTAAAAAATATTTTTAATGATGCTAAAGAAGTATAACTTCTCACGCGCGTACATAAGTTACACGCATCCTTTTTTTTTTCATACGAGGATCAGGTATTTACTCCGCCCCACCGGAATGAAGCCAAGATTGAAGATGGCTGATGCGGCTGAAATAACATGCCTGTCTAAACATGCTCGATGGAGGAGCTCGATGGGGCAAGTGGTTAGCGCGTTCGGCCTGCGATCGTGGATGTTAAGAAACTTTTGCAATGATCAGTCATTGGATGGGTGATCAAAAACTTATAATCTCTAGCTCCTCAACCTTTAGCTTCAAAGCTTTTATTGCAATACTTGAGTTGCTATTCAAGAAGTAAGGGTGCGGAGGTCTGGACGTCCAAGTAGTTGGTTGAAACTTGGGAATTTATAATTAAATTATTTTAGGAAGTTTATGTACGGAAAGCGCTAAGGTGGGTCTGGTCAAATTGTAACCTACCCATCAACATATACCAATAAAAGTTGCGGAATCGAACATAGAATCTCTTATCTATTAGACAAGTCCGTCCGTCCGTCTGTCTGTGGTGCTGTTTCAGCGGCCAAACCGTAAGAGATAGATAAAGAGAATATTTCAGTTATAAGTTAAGAATAGTCTGATAAGACACAAACCGGATTTGAGTAACGTAGCACTTCCGGTTTTCGAGAAATCACGAATTTCAAACGAAACCACACAAAATTTCCGAAGTTCTCAATTAATTAAATACATTTTTTTTTGACGTGACAACGTCTTAAATTAGGTTGCGGCTGGGAGTCACTTATGAAAAAGTGTAACGCTCGGTAACGTTACGATGAGTTTAAGTTTACATGTACAATGTTTTAGTAAACAAAATATATTTCTATAGTTAAAATTTGTGCAATTCTTATTTTCATTCAATTCCTTGTTCCTATTGTGCAATTTAATTATATTCATATCAATAAATATTCTACCGAGAAAAAGACGTTGTCACGTAAAATCTTCGCCCGTAAAACCGACTTTACAGGCAACCATTTTTTAATCAGGTTTTGGTGACCATTTGGTTCACTGGTTTGCTAGTAGATACCTATATACATAATATACATACACCTTCATCATCACCCATCCAATGACCGACCACTGCGAAAGTTGCTTAACTTCAACGATCGCAGCCGAACGCGCTAACCACCCGCGCCGTCGAACTCCTCATATATGATAAAAGAAAAGCAGAATAAAAAAAAAACTCTTTAAATGTCACTGTAATATTTAATGTATTCAATACAACTACTACATAAATGAATCATACATAGACATTTCATTTGTCTCGTTGACCGTACGAAAATAATTTTATAAACACGAGTTATCATTATAGTCGAGTCAATAAAGACATAAAACAGGTAAAACTTGGAAACCCGGTGGAACAGCTTCGATTTTAATATTTTTTTTTTTAAATTTGGTTTTTTTATATTATTCAAAATCAGAAACCTTTGGAAGGGGGGAAATAATTTTTTTTATTGTTTAAACAATATTTATGACATTTTTATAAAAAATTCAGTTTTATCGCTTTTTTTTTGAAAAAAATATTATTATGTTAATTTTAGTATAAAAAATAGTTGTTAAAATGAGGCTTTTAGTAATAATTTAATATTTAAACCATTAAAATACGATATATTGGTCAATAATACGAATGCGTTGAGCACTTACGCTATATTTTAGTTACTTCATATATCTTTTTATATATAATTCTTCTGTGAGTGTGTATGTCACTGAACTTCTCTTAAACGACTGGACCGATTTTGATGAAATTTTTTGTGTGTGTTCAAGGGGATCTGAGAATGGTTTAGATTCACAAAGACGTGTAGACAGGACAACGTCTGTCGGGTCCGCTAGTATTATATATATTTTATAGATAGGTCCGACAAATGACTCCACCCCACCTAATGTTAAGTGAAGGTGAAGTCCAGATGCGAAGATAGCTGATACAGCAGTTCTACCTGCCACACCAGCCATCCTCACCCTGCCGGCCTGCATGTTGCTTCTTCACGCCTCTTTTAAAGGATCCCACGTTGTAAGAGGGAGGGAACTCGTGAGCGGGCAGAGCATTCCATTTACGGATAGTGCGGCAAAGAAATGAATCACCAAATTTCTTTGTACGCGTTGGAATTGTGGCCACAGTAAGACGGTGACAACGTAGGCCAGCGCGCGTGGTCCTCTGAAGGAAAGGGGAAGGTGGGATAAGAGAGAATAACTCCTCAGAACACTCGCCGTGGTACAGACGATAGAACGCGCTTAGTGACGCCACGTCACGGCTCAAGGTGTTTAGTCACCTCCTCATCGCCTATGATGCGGATCGCGCGCCGTTGTAACCTATCCAAAGCATCGAGCAAGTACTTGGCGGAGCTATCCCAGAGGTGCAAGCAATATTCCACGCAGGACCGCACTTGCGTTTTGTACAACAAGCACAGTTGATCGGGCGTGAAAGAACGCCGCACCTTGTTCAGGACTCCAAGTTTGCGTGAAGCTGTTTTGATCACGGTTTCGATGTAGTCCTTTGGATTCAGGTCTGAGTGAACTTCCATATCGAGCATGGAAATGTTGCTCTGTAGCGGTAGTGTTGTGCCCTGAAGATGATAAATAAATAAAATAAATATAAAATAAGATGACGGGTCAGATGCTTTTCTAGAACTTTACATAAAACTGAGATGACTGCTATTGGCCGGTAGTTTGCCGGGTCTGAGCGATCCCCTTTTTTGGGCACCGGTTGCACGTAAGCATCTCTCCAAGTCTCCGGCACACGCCCCAAAGAATACGAGCATTGGTACAAGCGCGTGAGCACGGGAGACAACTCCGTTGCACATTTTTTCAGTACTACTGCTGGGATACCATCAGGTCCACTAGCTTTCCGGACGTCGAGTGATTGCAATTCGGCACGAACCTCACACTGCCTGATTTTAATATCAGGCATCGTTGTGCCACAGTGAGGTAATGATGGTGGTAGTGCATTGCAATTATCGAGTTAGACGCAAAGAGTTTTGCCAGTAAATCGGCTTTCTCCTGCGGCTTATGAGCTAGTGTTCCGTCTGGGCATCTCAGAGGTGGCAGCGAGGGCTGGCAGAAGGTTTTTTGCACAGCCTTGGCCAAACGCCAGTAGCTACGGGAGCGGAGGATGCGTTATAAGTTCCTGGCCAATACGTGCAACGCGCTGGGCATCCGCTCTGATGTAAGCCTTCTTACAAGCCTTGGAAGCAAAATTGTAGGCTGCTTTGAGTGAATCGACCTCGGGATCCTTGAGAGCGCGGCCTCTGAATCAATATATATATATATATCATATATTTTTTTATATATGTTAATAATGAAACTATTAATTTCTTATATTTCATGAAATATATCCTAACTTTTTTATGTATATCAGCGTCATGTCATTATATTACATGAAAGATCTTATAATTTATTGTTTTTAAAAGTTTTTGATATAATAACATGTAAATTAAAATTATTTGTGATAACAATATGAAAACAATAACATAAACATATTTTTTTTGTGAGTTTACAATTGATATTTTATAAAAAATCATTTTTTTCAAAACAATATGAAAAATTATTTCCCCCTCTCCAGAGGTTTCTGATTTCAAATAATATAAAAAAAACAAAATTATTAAAAAAAAAACATCAAAATCGAAGCTGTTCCACCGGGTTTCCAGGTAAAAAGCTTCATTGACTCGACTATTATGTTGTCGGTCAGTGCGTAAGCGCAACTTGACGCCACCGGCCGTCCTAACTTAAGTAGGTAACTTAATTAACGAAAAAATGTGCCAATATTTAGTGACACGGATTTTAGTGTTAGTTAGTTATATGGTGTTTAGTGTATCTACCAGTGATATGTTTCATGTGAAAAGTATGACTACATTTAGGCCAGATCAAGTGTCCGATTATTTTGGATATTCAGTGTCTTTGAGCAATTTGGGGTTTGTATTTTTTGTATAATAATATTAGAAATATGTAAACACAAGCTCGATGGCGCAACTGGTTAGCGCGTTCGGCTGCGATCGTTGAAGTTAAGCAACTTTCGCAGTGGTCGGTCATTGGATGGGTGACCAAAAATTTACTATCTCGAGCTCCTCCGTGCTTCGGAAGGCACGTTAAGTCGTTGGTCCCGGTTGCATCTGCAGTTGTTAGCACCCGCCAATGCGCACTGGGCCCGCGTGGTGGGTCATGGTCCAATCTCCCTATTCCATCCAGAGGGAAGGCCTGTGCCCCAGCAGTGGGGACATTAATAGGCTGATGATGATATAAATACAAGTCTTTTCATGTTATTAAAAAACGACTTTATTAAAATAAAACCGCAAAAAAGGAAGCAATAATACATACCTAAATATTTACTTTTAAATGCAAGTTACATTTAATGTCAAATCAGCATTTGATGTCGGTGTCATACGAATCTTTAAGCAGTAAATAGCAACTCATCTATTAACATCCATGGCACTGAATCCAAATGTAAAGACAGTTAAAATTAAATGTATTATTTAAACATAAGTAAAGAACGTATTCTTATTTTTAATTTTTGTACAATCAGTTTTTATTTTTGTTATAAAAATATTTATTTAACATTTTTTTAAAGCCAGAGTTACAAAAACTCACTGAATATAAGAACCTGGCCTGCATTATCTTTTAAAATAACCAAACACGGATTGAGTACTCGAGGAGTTCTATTGTTTGTTTCGAAAATACTGATCATATCTGCACTAAATTAAAGCATGAACATCTCGGCAAAAAACCTTTAAAATAAATAAAAAAAGGTAAATTTAAAAAATCCAAAAACTCGACTGCTTAATTATACTTCAAATAAAAACTGAGAGGAAAAAAACAAGTCCAGTAGTCTATAATTCTGTTAATAAGGAACAAAGCTACTTTAACAGTCGGGACCCATTATTGAAAAATATTATGTATTCTTGAATATCTAATGGGTCCCGACTGTTAAAGTAGCTTTGTTCCTTATTAACAGAATTATAGACTACTGGACTTGTTTTTTTTCTTTTCAGTTTTTATTTGAAGTATAATTAAGCAGTCGGGTTGTTTGATTTTTTAAATTTACCTTTTTTATTTCACACTTTTTAGTTAGTTAGTATTTTAAGACGGTATATACCGTAATCTTATTACTTCAGTAAGGGAATTAATATCGCGGGAATTATTAAGTACCTCGCGGTGGTCTAAAATATTGATTTATTAAGACATAAGTAATAACTTTACCAGCGGGGTCAAGGCTACAGATGGGCCTCAAATTTCGCAAAAATGAGTGAAGTTAAATCAAGTCGTTACATAAATATTTCTAATGCATGTAAATTTTATAGTAAACTAGCACTTATTCAAAAAGTCATCTTTTGTTTATGTTCTCATTAGTAGTTTAGCAGTAAATATAAAATTCATTTACTTTTATTCGTCGACTATTTAAAATTGGCAGTGGCTGCATTGTCATGTCAACGCCGGACGTCTAAGATTGTGATATACACAAATGCTGTGTCATATCCTAGTCTCATAATTTGATATACCTACATAATTCACAGAAACCCAATATGTAGATGCCAGAAGTTAACTTCAAATGTTGTTAATCACCCTATATACAATACCAATCAATGACGTTTATGTCGTAGGTTGAAGAAAGCAGCAACTCCCGTCTGTTGTTTTGGACAATGGTGGCAACTGCCTTAGATCGCTAAATTAAATAATTGTGCAATCACTAAAGCAAAGTTTATATATTTGATTAAACTTAAGGCGCATAATACAATTTTCATAACGTTAGGTAGAGCACCATAGCAATCTCATTTATTATCAATTTATAGTTCTCTTTGTACTTAGTTTTCTTTTAAAGCGTTCACATATAACAGGTCAAAGACTTTGTGACACCGCGCTATCACTTTGTCATCGTTGTAACTTTTTAAGTATTTGTCGAAATTACATAGTGTAAAAGGCAAAGTTTATCGTCTTTAAATATCAAAAACGATAAAAGTTTTTGTTTTGATAAAAATAATTTTTGGTAGTGTAAAGCTCGACTGAAGAGGACTCCCAGTAGTGCAATCATGGCAATTATTTTCCAATTTTTTTTTGTTTAAAACATACTGAATAACGTATCACTGTTAAGCACAAATGCTAAGTAACTTTTACAAATATAATCAAATAAACCTATTACTTACTTTATTTTTAAATCTTTTTCATCAATTAAATACTTATCTTATCCTAACTATCTATACTAATATTATAAAGACGCAAGATTTGTATGTTTGTAACATATAATCTGTCAAACTACTGAACCGGTTTCAAATATTAATTCATCATAAGGTAGCTACATTATTTAATATAACATTTTTCTTTATTTAAATACATTTGGCCGAGTGACATAGGCTATATTTTATCCCGATAAATAAATTTCGCCCGTACAATGCCCGGGTGGATCACTAGTAAGTATAATATAATATTATAGATGCGAAAGTGAGTTTGTTTGTTGCGCTTCCGTGCCCTAATAGCTAAATCGAATATAATGAATTCCCATATAGAAGTAGATGGGAACTTGGTTCTTAGCTACAACATCGCAATACTTATAGGCGTAGGGTGATGAAAGGGGTGATTTACCTATACAAATCTACATTATTTACTTTGAATTTTGCAGAATTATTACAAAACCAATATTATCGCGAGCTGATTAATAAATACAGGGATTCCAATAATGTATGTACTTACTAGCGAAAAATGGGTTATTTGTCATTATATTAAGTAAACCTTTTTTGTAACATTAAGTAATATCGTTAAAAAAATGAAAAACAGTAAAATTCTGAGTTTTTCATTAAAATTCAATAATCATAAATACCTATTATGATTATATATTTTTCATCATTTAATAAGAAGGAACTGTATCACAGTTTTATTGTTAGTACTTCGTATAGGATCAGATACTGCGAATACCCCTTTTTTTTCTTTTACATAGTACACCGCGCTATCACTTTGTCATCGTTGTAACTTTTTAAATATTTGTCCAAAAGACATAGTGTAAAAAGAAAAGTTTATCGTCTTTAAATATCAAAAGCGATAAAAGTATTTGTTTTAATAAAAAATGATTTGTTAATACAAATTGTGCATTTTGGAAATAGATATCAAATAATATTTTAGTTTTGATTCACTATTTTAGCGGTAATGACTTACACATTAAAATAGATATATGGTGTCACGGACTTTTTTTTAAAACTATTTAAGAGATACATTTTCACTCTTCATTCCATTCATGTAACTTTTATTGTTTTTGCAGTGCAGGCCAAAATGGCTCGCAGATGGGAGATTTTTTTCCGTCTTATGTGACACTTATTGTTATATATTGGCCAATTCACTCAATAAGTACATAAATTATTATATATATGTAATTATCATATATGAGCTATATTACTGTTAAGTTTCATTAAAATCCATTCAGTATTTTTTAGGTGAAAGAGTAACAAAGATCCATGTAAACGTAAGATTGAAATTAAAAGCGTAAGTGGTTATTATACAAATTTAAACCGTTGTAGATCCTAAACAATCACATAAAATGAAAAATAGTGTTAGGAACCTAAATATGATTTTTGATTATCTAGACAGTGATACCCCATTCGACATATTTTGTCAACTTATTTTTTTTACTTCGTCACAATATGGCGCCTAATTTTTCCCATATTGATTTTTGATTACTATCATATCTTTAGTAGCACTCCCATGATTGAGACGAATCGATTGATGTATGAATCATCAAAATCGGTCCAGGCGTTTGGTCTCTAGTGTGCCACAAAGGAACAAACATACATATATAGACTGTTAAACACATAACCCTGTCTGCGCGTCGCGCTTCGCGCTCTTGCATTGCGCAGCCGGGTAAAATCATCAATATCGCACCACCTATCTCTGATATATATATATATATATATATATATATATATATATATATATATATATATATAATATACACATACATATTAGTGTTGCCGATCGATAGTCTATCGATAACCAACCAATCACATGACAATCGATCGGATCGATCGATAGCACAGAAAAAGCCAATACTATCGGATGACTTAAATACTATCGATAGTATCGAAACTGTCGATTTTATTTGCAAACATACTATCGATAGTATAACAATTTGCAATAGTATTGTTTACAATTTTCAGGTATTATAGTCAATCACTAATTTTAGTCTAAAACAATCGCTAGTATCGATACTATCGATAGTATTGTTGCAGATAAAATCAACAGTATCGATAGTATCGATACTATCAATAGTTGTTATTAACGAACTACAATAGTATCGATAGTATCTATAGTATTGCTTTGTTCTGAGCTATTGATAGTTTCGATACTATCGGTTGTATCGATTCTATCGATAGGCCTATCGATAGGGTACATGATTTTCGATGTAAACTGTCGATAGTTTTAATATCGATAGTTCGGCAACACTAACATATATATATAACGCGAATAACAAGAAAAAAAACAAAAAGCTGATGAATTGAGGACCTCCTCTTTTTTTAGTCGGTTAAAAAACCTCGTATTTTACTTGTAGCGTAAATACTGAAATTTAATGTTTCTATATATTGAATGCAATATAAGGAAAATATATTTTGTTTACATAACGCATGGGTTTTTACCCAATAGGGACAAAAATTTTGCGAGATTTGCTCAATAAAATAAAATTTATCCTTTACTTTAGGCGTAAATATAATTTGGAAAAAATACTCTGTTTTGTTTATAATCATACACACATGCTTAACTAAACTTTATATACAGTTAAAACAAATAAGAATAAAAGTCCTCATAGTATTTATTAAATGAAAAATATAATAGGCGCCAGATGTAATTAACCGAGGAAGTTATCAGCTGCCGGTTTATATGCTACAGTAATTTATCTATCAGAGGTACAAGATAACGGACTGTTTAATTACGGAACACAATAGGGAATATGCATGTTTTTTTATACTTTTTTTTTAGCTTACATGTCCTTTATGAAGTGTAAAAAAATATACATCGATAAAGTTTATGGTGTCAATTTTTTTTTTAAATAACCACTTTTTATGAGTGCATTCGCAGCACTATATTATTGGTAAAATTGGCATAACCTGTGAACATCATTTTTGTTAAATTTTTTCGTCACAACCGCTGTTGTCGCGTAATAAATATTTTAATTTCCCATAAAATTTTCGACCTTCTATATTATTAATTTCTTGCTCGAAAAGAAATTATGCTAACAAATATTAATGGAGGGACAATTTAAAAGTTATAGAGTTTGTATAAATAATAATTGAAGCTTATTACGACTTCGTAACTGTTTTTTTTTTTGAAAAACAAATGAATATGAATGATGACCAATTTTTGTTTCTTTGTCTATCAGGTAGATTATATCGAAAAGTATTAAACACGTATTTTCTCTTTTTTCACATAATCTTGTGTAGAAATTTCTTGTTATTTGCACTGCCTTCTAAGACTTAGCTACAATTCTCCGGTTAACAGGAAAAGGCATTGAGTCCGCCATTTGTAAATCAATTTGTGCAAAGAAGTTAAAACTAATAAATAATCAAACGATTACAGAGATAGGTCTACTGTACCCCTAGCACGAATCATTATCGAATTCGAATAGTTTGCAAACCAAAATATCAATGTCAAATTTTGTATGGAAACTTGAACAGCAGCGGCACAAAGTACGTAACGAGAACCAAAAATCAGTATACATTTGACAATGACATTTCGGACTCGCAAACGATACGAATTCGATATTGGTTCGTGCTAGGGGTAATGCTATTGGTTTAAAATATCGTATGACGTCATGTTTTGGTACAATTTTTCTACTTAGAAGAGATGTCAAGAGACTTACAAACTTTGACACGCTTGTCTTTGTAATTTTCCCAAAATCGTTCAGCCGTTTTTGCATGATTGAGTAAAACATACAGACACCCATTTCCCCTCCGTAAGGATAATTTCTGCGATAAAAACTATGTTATGTCCTTTCCCGGGACTCAAACCGGTTAAATCGGTTCAAAGGGTTAATCGTGACGAGGTAACATACAGACAAACACACTTTCGTATTCATAATATTAGTATGAATTTAAGTAGGAGGTAGGATGGTAGGATGAATGGGTAGAATTATAATATTAGGAAGTAGAATAATAGGAATGGAAGGAAAGAAGTAGGACTAGTAGGATTGCTACCCAATGGAATGGAATAGGATGAACCGGATAAGGAGAAAGAAAGAAAGAAAGAAATAATATAATTTGAGACAATAATAAAACATAATAATAAAAAAAATAAAATAAAACAATTAAATTTAGTCTCAAAACGGTCCCAACTCAGCATAGTGCTAAAGTTGCCATTAGCGCTGGTCTTCCGTTGGAACCGGTTTGGTGTCACACGGAACAATAACAACAAGAACAACAAATAACATAAAAAAATAGAAAGCAAAATAAAAAACCAGGAATAAAAATAAAAACAAAACATGCTTGGCTGAACGTATCAAAATATCTCTGCCACAGCCATTTAAAAAGAAAGAAGAGAGGAGGAGTCACTTCCATTATATCCTTGTTACACTCTCCCAGTGGCAAAGGAAGGCGTCAAGCATTGAAATGAAGAAGAAAGCAAGAAATGAAATAGACTAGTAGGATAGGATGTCAAAGCATATGAAACCCGACGTGGTTGGGTCAGCAGCCACTTCGCCAGTGTTTTTGTAATGTTAGTGGAAAATGATGAAAAAATTGCTCGTATACAGGATATTTACTAATGACGAATTTAGACGTAATTTTTCTCAATCATCATGACGCCTTTGGGTGACACACCAGACGTGAGCTCATCCTACTATTCTATGCTATTATTAATATAAAAATTGGGAAAATTTTTTAGATTTTTTAATCACTTGATTTACTTTATTTTTTTGTCATGAGGAGCTCGATGGCGCAGCTGGTTAGCGCGTTCGGCTGCAATCGTTAAAGTTAAGCAACTTTCGTAGTGGTCGGTCATTGGATGGGTGACCAAAAATCTTCTATCTCGAGTTCCTCCGTGCTTCGGAAGGAACGTTAAACCGTCGGTCCCTGCTGCATCTGCAGTCCTCATCGGCCCAGTGCGGATTGGCGGGTGCTAAACCCGCTAAAATGATTGGTTTAGTCCTTGGGATTTTACGAATACTTAAGTCTAAGCAGACGAACTTCTAGGCAAAATAGGATAAAATAGTGTACATTTTTTTGTGAATAAGGTCTCCTTTTACGGTCTTGAGACGCTTCCGCGTGTTTAGCCAATTCAAGCTAGCAGAACTGGCGAGCAGCACGGTGTGTAGCGAGCAGTACGTGAACCATTTGAAACTTAGATTTAAACAAAAAGGGAGGTACGGCACTCGCGGCTCAAAAGTGAGCCGCTTAAATTGTGGTGCATGACCACAATTCACTTTGGTCACAATTGGACATTCAAACACGCTGCACGTGCACTCATTATAACAATATTGCGTCTATTCTGTGTTACAAAGATTAAACAATGCCTTCGATGCTTTTATAAAGAACACAAATAGTTTAAGATGATTTAACAACTTTGACGGCGACACCTTTCATTTGTAAAAGTATGAAAACATTTTTTCTCAATAGTCACGGTTGTCATGAATGTTATTTACTTTTCGCCATTTGTTTCCAAGAAAAGGACAACAATACAGCTCAGCCGTTTGTAGAGAGAGAAAAGAAAACGCAGTCGCCAAGCCAAGCGACGCGGACTCGCCGTTTCGCTCGCGCTGCGTTGAAGCGTACAGTTTTGCCTCGCTCGCTGGATTGAATGCTTATTTACAGAAGTGTGCGTGCGTGAGTCTTGCTTATGTAGTTGAGTCGGAGCATATTTTATTTGATGCTAGTATGAGCGTACCGCATCTTCCCTTTTTTTTAATGTAAAATTTGAAAACACTTTATATTTTTCTTCTGGCCACAACAACCTAACATAACCTAGTGTAAAGTAACAACTCCCCGTCCCATGACGTACAGTTTAGGCTAAAGTATAAATGTGTCAGTTAATATATGTAAGAAAAAACTATGATGCATTTGCAAAAAAAGTCAAACCCATAACTTTAACACAAGATTTAAGAACAAGCTTGCCGTTTCATGTTTCAGACTCCAAAAATCAAGAGGTTCATTTCTGGGTTGTAGTCTTGCATTGTTTAATAAAGTTCCCCTAGATCTGATTGAGCTTCCACTGACTAAATTTAAAACTCAGATCAAAAATACTCTTATGAATAAGGGCTAATATAAAGTTGATGATTATCTAAATGATCGTAATTCACGGAAATAGTGTTTCTTATAATTTGTTATTTAATGGGTATAAGTCATTTAAGTTCATAACAGTAATATTGTACCTATCTAATGTCGTTTCCTATATACTAAATTTCAGACGTATCTTCAGAAGTCATTTTTCAACTTGACGACTCTGTATATAACAATACAGGGAGAAAAAACAGCCCTTGCTGAGTTTCTTACCGGTTCTTCTCAGTACAAGGTCTCCCGCCGTAGTTTTGCGATCCGATGGCGTACTTTCTTGACCTTCAAAAGTGCTTGTAACTGCCTGAAAAGACTGAATAAATGACTTTTCATTTCATTCGCTGTACTACTTGTTTTTTTCAAATCTGCTGTCTTTCCCAGACTCCACGTGGGGGCTCCGAAGGCGAAGAGCAGGACAGTGAAGGGCATCGCTCCAGGGCTGGTGTTCTCGTGTCCTCTGACAGATGTCGACAGCAGCAACGCGAGTTGTGACCCACTCGGGAAGAATGGTAAGTACCTAAATGATCTATTCTGTCTCTTTAACTTTTTCAATTTTACATATGGTACTTTGTATGTTTATTACTCAATCACTCAAAACGGCTGAACGGATTTGGATGAAATTGAGCACATCATCATCATCAGCCTATTAATGTCCCCACTGCTGGGGCACAGACCTTCCCTATGGATGGAATAGGGAGATTGGGCCATGCCCCATCACGCAGACGCAGTGCAGATTGGCGGGTGCTAACGACTGCAGATGTAGCCGGAACCAACGGCTTAATGTGCCTTCCGAAGTACGGAGGAACTCGGGATAGAAGATATTTGGTCACCCATCCAATGACTGACCACTGCGAAAGTTGTAGTTTATTACCTGAATTGAAATATATAATGCTTTTTATCCCGAAAAAAATTAGGTTACTGAGGGACTGTCGGTCATTGATTGGATTCTTAAAAAAAACTGTGAACTGTGAACGTGGACGAAGCTGCGGGCGGTCGCTAGTCTAATGATGAATTACTACAATAGTTGGTTATTTCTTCTACTTACACTTTTTGCTGCGAATTTGAAAGCCATATCAAGTTGCTCCTTTGGAGGTAGCGTCTGAGAGTAATCACTGAATAAATACCCCCAACTGTTATAATCTAATATAACAAAAATGGAAGATACGGTACCTACGCTCTACTAGCATCAAATAAAATATGCTCAGACTCAACTACTTAAGCAACTCTTACGCACGCACACACTTCGGTAAATCTTTTCTTGATAACAAATGGCGAAAAGTAAATGGAATTTATGACAAACCGTGATTTTTGAGAAAATAAGTTTCCATAGTTTTACGAATAAAAAGTGCTGCCGTGTTTGTTATTTAATCTTGAATTATTTGTGTTCTTTGTAAAAGCATCGAAGGCATTTTATATTTTATCGTTATAACATATAATTATTGCGTAATTTTGTTATATTGAGTGCATATGCAGCGTGTTTGAATGTCCTATTATGCCTAAAGAGAATTGTGGTCATGCACCACAATTTAGTGCCGTATTTTCCCTTTTTGTTTTAATCTAAGTTTGATTCGGTTTGTTCCTACTTGTCACTTTGAGACAACATCTTCATAGCATATAGGTTATTAACATTTCTCTTAAATCTATTGTCTCTTAAATCCTTTCCATGTCATTCCACCAGTAATGTCGGACATTATCAGTGAATCCACAAACCTTTTCTGTAGTTTTGATTTTCACATGTTGATGTGAAAATTCTAGCGTTTTGGGTATTTTGTCAAGAAAAAGTTAGTAAGCCCAAACGTTATATTATGTTTCGTTATTTAAAAGTAATCCAGAGAAGAAGGATTAGCGAATTGAACCGTTCTCGTTCGCTACTAACTTCAAGTACCTACCAATGACTATTGTTTATTATGTAACTGCTTATGCAATTATAATTTCCTTAATTATACTTAGTCATTAATAAACGAATTCCTATGTATTTGACTAAATATCTATTTTTAGAAAATATAAATATGCGTTCGGTCTGCGTTTGCGGAAGCTGAATAATTTATGTAATGGTCAGGCATTGGATGGGTGACCAAAAAGAATGTAAACTTGATTTTAGAATATTTGTTTCTTAGGTTTTCACGCACATCAATCATTAAACAAAACTAGTTTTGTTAATGCACGAACTTTATTTATTTATTGACGTTTCGCAGCCTTTTCAGGTCTGTGTCGAGCTACCTTCGAAAGACACCTTCTTTCGAAGGTAACTCGAAAGACACTTTCTTTCGAAGGTAGCTCGACAAAGTAAATAAGAAATCATTATTCTGACGATGCAGACCTCAAAAGGCTGCGAAACGTAAATAAATAAATAAAGTTCGTGCATTAACCCGTTAAAACTAGTTTGATTTTAAAACTTTGGAGCAAGTAGAGCCAAATATAAAAAAAAGAAATAAGAAAAAAAAAGCAATCTACTTCGGCCTGCCACATTAGGGCGAGTCCACAACACCTTACGCTGTCGCACTGTAGAAACCTACGACGGTCGTACAAAGCATCGCAGTAATATCCGATGCGTTGCCGGCCGTTGCGATGAAATTTTTTCGTAGCGTCATCGTTTTTGCGACGCGACGTATACCGCAGTGTTTTGCTGCCTCGCTCTAATAGCCCTGTATCGTAAAAGTGAAACATTTGTATCAGCTTTTTCTTTTTTGGATTTCATATTACAGATAGCTCCAATCATCTAATGGGGAGCCATATACCAAATGATTTCTATAAAGATGACATGTGGTTCGGAGCTGTTATAGCCGTGGTACCCGAAGACAAATTACTGGTAAGATTAATTTAAGAAGTCCCCTTATAAACTGCGAAATATGTAATGCAGACAGAGAGATTTGAAGTTAACACAACCAGCCTTTTTTTCCATAGATTGTGAATTTTATACTATGAAGCAATAAAAACAACGATATTAAATCTCAAAATTAGTTTAGAAATTGATCATCAGTGGCCGCAACGACCAGGAGGCATTCGATCGAATCTCCGCACTGTTCTTACTATATTTCTGGTTCGTATTTAATTATAGTAATATTCGTCATCGGAATATAGATTGAGATGAAAATTTTCTAAGCCTACTCAAGGAAAGCTTCAATTTGATAATTTATCTTTTAAATTAAGTATTACTTTACATCGCTATCGAAAGTGCGTTTTAGAGAAAAAGAGTACACCTCCTGAATACCTAAAGAAACCATACGAACGTCACGCACTTGGCCGCACGGCCATCTTTAGTTAATTTAAGCGTTGAGCCACTGTTCATGATCGTGGTCGTCTAGTGCGCGAGGTGCCTTAATCTGGTCGTTGCCGCTACTGGTCGTGGTCTTGGCCGTTCAGTACATGAAGTGCCTTAGACAGTCTTGAGTAATTAGACCAATGTCTGTCTGTACTTAATATCGATGAATGGTATTCTGTGGTAATTATACGTAAAAGTATAATATTTGTATTCATTATCATATTTATATTACGTCTGGGATAGATACGTATTTATTAGACTTTACCAGCAACTGAGTATCGTCATTAACAGAAAAACGATTACTCATTAACCGAAAAGTACTCTACTCGGTCGTTAATTACGATGGGCCATATAAAAGTTATTATTTTCTTATCAGGAAAAATGGTAAAGTTTAATAAATAAACTCACATAAAGAGTGAAACAACACCTTCCTTTATACATTATAATGCAAACAAAATTTGATTGACTCGATATTTTATTTATAGTAATAAGAAAAAAACTAAAAGACAAGGAATTTTCTAAGCTATTTACGCTTCGGATACCTAATTCATTTAAAAATAAATTCAATTTATAATAAAAACATAAAACAAGAGAAAGTCGCCTAGCTATCTTCTTTCACACACGTTGCTGACTGCTCATTCGGCTTTGTATAGAATATATAGGCAAAGTATAAAATTAATATTATTTCATACACTGCCTTGACGTTTTAGGTATTCTATGCATTACCTGGGTATTGTATAGAATGCCGGAATTATACATATTACCGGTAATATATACTCGCGAGTGCGAGCAAAAGTTGTTCCGCGCGATCATGCTTACTAAATAAATTTTTAATTATCATAAGAATGACATCATTTTCAAGGTTCAACTGTCAACTTTAAATTGATACTAAATTCATTCAAATCGAGCCAGTATTTAAGGAGCTATCCCGGATTAAGTGAAGGAGGTAGGAAAACAAGGAAAAATAATGAATGAATAAACCAACAAAAATTAATAAATAAAAATTTTATTTAGCATTAAAATTAAGTGTCAGTACTTCGTGTTTCCTCCCCTCGCCCTAACAACTGCTCGAAGACGAATCTTCTTAAACCTGATCAGCTTTTGAATTGATACTTGTGGGATACACTAGACACTGTTCTTTAAAAAAACTAAGTTTGGTAGCATTCTATGCTTTTCATTTAATGGAATATGGTAAGGAAATACTGTTATCATATTTTAGTTTTAGGTATATAGAATGTAGGCCTACACAATAAGTTTAAACGAAATAAAAAAAGCAGATACTTCTTCATATTGTTTATTTTTATTTGATGTTTTAAGAGAGGCATAGCGAATTTTCCGCTCGAATTGGAGCGCCGGTCTGGGGAAGACCACAGTAAAATAACACTGCCTTTTGGTGGTGTTGTATTTTTGTCGGTGAGTAAGGATCCAGGGGTCCACGGGATAGACGATGAGGTCCTGACCTCATAAAATATCACGAAAAATATCACTTGCGCCTTTGCCTACCCTGGTAGTCAACGGGGCGAATGATATTTCTAAAGTGAAACTTCTTTACGCAAACTTGACTTTGGGGAGTAAGATGACGAATGCGTTACGCGTTACGAAAAGTGTGTTCGGGTGAGGCGAACGGAAGTTGAGAGTTAGATATAAGTGTGAGAAAGCAGTGCGCGCACACATTTTCTTTCTCTCTTTCTCTTATAGCTAGTAAATGAAATATATATATATATACATACAGATGGAGCTAAAGAAATTTCACTTCAGTCGTGTGGTCATAAGCACACTCGTTTTTTTTGTACATGAACAACAACATGAAAAAATGTATAAAATAATAACTATGATATTTCCTTTGTTGTTTCTCCAGATCTGTGCCCCGAGGGAGATGGCGCTGTTTAAAGATAAACAAATCGTTTTGATAAACGGTGTATGTTACATACGCGGGAAGAACAAAGAACAGAGATTATACCCGCTCAGAGATGAACGTAAATATTGTTTTAGTTCTAAAAATGTTATAGTGAGATTTAAACTGTACATATAACGGCAGCGAGTGCAACTATCCGCTGTTTTAGTTCAGTATATATAAAATACTAACGGAAGTCACGGTAATAATATCACACAGTATTCTATCTTCATACAAACGGTCGGAAAGCGAGCCATACCTACGCCACTCGAGTTCGAGGCACTCTCGGCGGGCACCCAGTCGCGAATGTGAAATGTTATTTATGCAGTTAGCCGTGCTTAAACGTGCGTTTTGTATTGTAAATATTTGATTGAATTAAGTAGATACCTACATAATTTAGTATGGAAAAGAACAAACGACGATCAATATCGTCCAACAGCACAATTGCTGTTTTTGGTTGCTTGAACTCTTCAATAGCACACCCAGAGATATCATTTTTTAAATTACCTGAAATATTGGAAAGGTGTCTTACCTTTATAGAATATTTTGTATATACCTATCTACTAGTACGTTATTTGTTTCTAATATTTAGGTATATATCGGGCAAAATATCTGGAATAATATATAAATAAGTGGTTAGGATGAAAAAAGAGACAAACGAGTAATCTACCTACACTCGCATTAAAAAACAAAACTACATAAAATATTATAGGCGGGCGGCCCTACCGCGTGCGAAGCAGCGCTCGGCCGTAGGCATTTATTTCAAGGACAGGGCGGAGTCACAATACTGTATAGATAATATTACCGTGCTGAAGTGGTAACCTCTTCCTTTTAAAAGGCGATTAAAAACCTTCAATTTCGATTACTTAGCCGCAACTTGCGCTAGTTCCCAAGTCACAATTAAGTTTGAACCGTACTATAGATTTTGTCCAGTGAAAAAATATCAGTAAGAGACTCTGTTGTCGTTTTCCTTGTCAGTGTCATATTTATATAATTGAAAATTTTTATTCTATAAATTAAAACAGAAAGGGAAGATACAGTACAATCATACTAGCATCAAGTAAAATATACTCCGACTGAACTACATATGCAACTCTCACACACGCACACTTCTGTAAACAAACATTCAAGCGAGCGAGCGAGACAGATTGCGTTGAAGCGGCAGCGCGAGCGAAACGTCGAGTCCGCGTCGCTTGGCAACCAACTGCGTTTTATTTTCTCTCTTTACAAATGGCTAAGCTGTATTGTTGTCCTTTACTTGATAGTAAACGGCGATTAAGTAAATAATATTCATGACAAGCCGTGATTTTTAAGAAATAAATAAATATTTCCAACACTCTCACCAATTAGCCTAGCCCCAAAGTAAGCACTATGAGACTTGTGTTATGGGATGCTAGGGTAACGGATAGAATACATATCCTGTACATATATAAGTATATTTCTATAGAAATACATATTAAACATTCATGACTGGAGTACAAATGCTCGTATTCATCACACAAACATCTGTCCCCACCGGGATTCGAACCCGGGACCTCTCGAGTTGGCGACACCATAAAACCCAGCGTACAAACCACTCGGCCACGGAGGTCGTCTTAAAATGTTTATAGTTTTACGAATGAACAGTGTTGCCGTGGAATTTGTAATTTGATCTTGAACTATTTATGTTCTTTAGCCATTTTTTTATCTTTATAACACAGAATTTGCAATATGTTTATATTGAGTGTACATGCAGCGTGTTAGAATGTCCAATTGTGACTAAAGCGAATTGTGGTCATGCACCACAATTTAAGCGGTAAACTTTTGAGCCCCAAGTGCTGTATCTTCCCTTTTCATTTTAATCTAAGTTAGATTCGGTTTGTTCCTACTTGTCACTTTGAGACAACATCTTCATAGCATATTGGTAATTGACATTTTCATACACATTTTCAAGCGAATGTCATTCTCAAAATTTTCTTTATTACAACAATATTTATCAAAATTAGTTGTGCGGCATAGGACTCAAAACCTAATACTATTGGACATAGTTACTTTATGGATCTTATAAGTGTCAAATCATATGCAGCGTATATTGCGCCATATAACACGCCTTTTTCATTGTGTATAATAGTATTTCTCGCAAGTTACGCGCAACTATTTCTATGAAAATCAATGCTTTTAGTGAATATACTGTGCTTAGTGACATCATTTGTTATCCTCTATTATACAGTAACCAATTATGCTACCGCGACCTTATTGCAAGTGCCGAATTTCATCTAGTATTTCTTAGACTGTAAGGCCTAACTTCGCATTGAAGGTGACCCACAACGTTAAACGTTATAATTTACAAGTATCAAACATTAGGAAGAAAAAATAGCAATTGGTTAGTACATCTGCCCGGATAGCGGAAGTTGCGGGTTCGAATCCCGTCTGTTACCTGGACCGAGTGTACTTTTTTTCTAATAAAATTTTCTTTACATTTAAAAATCCAGCAGTCAAATGCTTAAAATAAATGTAATAAACTTAACGATTGAAGTCTCAGTACTCGAGTAAGGTTGGCTATTATTCGCAGACCGTCAAGCGTACGGGACCGACGGGGCCAGAAAGGAGTATGGCGAGTATGTGTATAACCTGAACTACTTCGCAAACGGTCAGGCGGGTATGTCTGTGGCCGTTACGAAGAACAGCAGCATCATTATAGGAGCCCCGGGAGTGCTGCAGTGGACAGGTGAGCCATTTGATTAAGGAGTATGACGAGTGAGGGTACCACCTGAACTATTTCGCGTGTGGTCGGGTGGGGATGTTTGTGACCGTAACGATGAACAACAGCATCATTATAGGAGCCCCGGGAGTGCTGCAGTGGACAGATGAGGCATTTGATAAAGGAGTAAGGCGAGTGAGGGTACCACCTGAACTATTTCGCGTGTGGTCGGGTGGGGATGTCTGTGGCCGTAACGAAGAACAACAGCATCATTATAGGAGCCCCGGGAGTGCTGCAGTGGACAGATGAGGCATTTGATAAAGGAGTAAGGCGAGTGAGGGTACCACCTGAACTATTTCGCGTGTGGTCGGGTGGGGATGTCTGTGGCCGTAACGAAGAACAACAGCATCATTATAGAAGTCCCGGGAGTGCTGCAGTGGACAAGTGAGGCATTTGATAAAGGAGTATGGCGAGTGAGGGTACCACCTGAACTATTTCGCGTGTGGTCGGGTGGGGATGTTCTGTGGCCGTAACGAAGAACAACAGCATCATTATAGGAGCCCCGGGAGTGCTGCAGTGGACAGGTGGGCATTTAATAAAGGAGTACGGCGAGTAAGGGTTCCACCTGAACTATTTCTTGCACGGTCGGGTGGGGATGTCTGTGGCCGTAACGAAGAACAGCAGCATCATTATAGGAGCCCCGGGAGTGCTGCAGTGGACAGGTGAGGCATTTGATTAAGGAGTATGACGAGTGAGGGTACCACCTGAACTATTTCGCGTGTGGTCGGGTGGGGATGTTTGTGACCGTAACGATGAACAACAGCATCATTATAGGAGCCCCGGGAGTGCTGCAGTGGACAGATGAGGCATTTGATAAAGGAGTAAGGCGAGTGAGGGTACTACCTGAACTATTTCGCGTGTGGTCGGGTGGGGATGTCTGTGGCTGTAACGAAGAACAACAGCATCATTATAGAAGTCCCGGGAGTGCTGCAGTGGACAGGTGGGCATTTAATAAAGGAGTACGGCGAGTAAGGGTTCCACCTGAACTATTTCGCGTACGGTCTGGTGGGGATGTCTGTGGCCGTAACGAAGAACAGCAGCATCATTATAGGAGCTCCGGGAGTGCTGCAGTGGACAGGTGAGGCATTTGATAAAGAAGTACGGCGAATAAGGGTACCACTTGCATTACTTCGAGTACGATCAGGCGGTGATGTCTGTGACCGTAACGAAGAATAACAGCGTCATTATACGAGCCCCGGGAGTGCTGCAGTGGACAGGTGGGCATTTGATAAAGGAGTACGGCGAATAAGGGTATCACCTGAACTATTTTGCGTACGGTCTAGTGGGGATGTCTGTGGCCGTAACGAAGAACAAGAGCATCATTATAGGAGCCCCGGGAGTGCTGCAGTGGACGGGTGAGGCATTTAATCATAATTTGTCTATTAATGTCCCCACTGCTGACCCGTGACCCAAACCGCGGGGACTATTAGTAGGTGCTAATGACTGCAGATGCAGTCGGGACCAACGGCTTAAAGTTCCTTCCGAAGCACGGAGCAGCTCGGGATAATAAGTTTTTGGTCACCCATCAAAGGACCGACCATTGCGTGAAAATTGCTTTGCTTCCACGATCGCAGGCTAAATGCGCTAACCGCCTGCGCCATCGAGCTCCTCATCGCAATATTCATCATAATGTTTAAGTCATTTAATTATACCTAATCAAACAATGAGGAAATCCGCAGAAGAAAAAGTAACCGGCATCGCTCGAAGAACGAGAACAAAGATATCTGGTGGCTCATTTCTTTGACGCACTATCCGCAAATAGAATGCTTTGTTCACTCATGTGTTCTTTACCTCCTATCACTCGGGATCTTAAGAGAGCGGCGTAAAAAATCACCTTGCAGAAACGTATGGATGGCTATTGCGGCGGGTGAAACTACTGCACCCTCTATCTTCGCGTCTGGACTCCGCCGAACCGTCACTTAACAACAGGTGGGGTGGAGCAATTTGTAGGACTTTTTTTATGTATAAGAAAAGGATTAATCCGCTGACCAATGGCCGTTGAGGTAGAAAGGCTTTCAAGTGGCAACAATGCACCGAAAGAGGTTCAGTAGACAAGCCTCCCACCAGGAGGACTGACGATCTAGTGAATGTCGCGGGAAGCCGATGGATGCGCGTGATGCAGTGCATGCGATCGGTGTGTCAGCGGAAGGGGAGCGGTGTGGTGGTCACTAGCCCGCACACCTAACTCCTAGCGCGGGCCTACCCGCGCACGTCTGCGGGGTCCCCGCGATACCCCTGGAGATCCCTAACGTGGAGCCCCGGCTAGTCCGGGAGGCTGCTAGGTGCGGAAACGCGGAAGAATCCCTAAACGGGGATCCCATGGCTTCATACTAAGCAGCTTAGAGGGTATTCGCAGGGTTTTTAGCGGATATTATGCCGTAAAGCGCCCGTAAGAGTTACGGGGTCCTCAGTGGGCAGTCACTAAACAGAGGTTTTGCCTGCGTTAGCAAAAAAAAGGACCGATCGGTGTGTGCATCCTTGGAAGAGGCCTATGATGGATGGCCTATGTTTAACAGTTCGGCTCATATTATGATGATGATGACATATTAATAACATGATCAGATTTAACTGTTACTAAATGAAAATTAACTTAGACCACTTATCAGTCTGAAATCGAACTTCTGGACGAATGCATTGCCTATTATGCTACTGAAACTATAACATTAATTCTGTAGTCTCAGAAACGTAACGGTAAATCTTTTTGTACTGAAACCTTGACAGACGTATCAATATTGAATGGTTTTTATAGGCTACAAGACAATCGCCATAATAAAGGTAATAAAAATAGCCTAAAATAAATTCAAGTCCATACAAGTCCGCATTCGCCCCGACCCGAAAATATTTTTTAGTACAACACTTGGGATAACTTCTCAGAAGAAGTTTTCCGGAAACAAGAGTGACAGATTGCGAGAACTCCGCAATCTGTTTTTACATTTTTGGAACCGTCCATTGAAAGGCTTTCACAATGGAAAGGGGAAAGCAATGTCTAGGTATAATAACAGATCTCTAATAACAGAAACACCATAATGTTATTTGTCTCAGCTAACAGATTTGGGTCCAAGTAACAAATAAATTTAACAAATAACTGTATAAGCCGCGTCTCCAACAGCTGTTTGAGTCCTCCGTACTCACAGACAATGTCTGCGTCCGTACCCGTACCCCAATAAAGTTGGACTATAAATTAACACTTTGTGTGCCCTTTAAGCAGAATTTAAGGACGTAAAATAAATTTGGAAATAATTACGTACGGAATAATAGACTGAGGAACTTTATAAATCAATTTTATTTCATGTCCCATAGATTATAAATTACAATTATATCCATTTACGTTTCGTAAAAAGTTTAATTAAACATTACTATTAACAAACATTTACTTACATCTGTCAATCATTATTCTAAATTGTGCTAAACATTGTATTATTTTCTATCAAGTTTTCAGAGTACAAAAATTTATATCAAATATAAATAAAGTTTGAAAAACAGCCAAATCAATACTATTGGTATATTTTATTAGTCTATTGTGGAATGAGACTTTAAATCCAATCATAAATAAGTTCGTAGGGATTTTCACTTAAATTTGTCGACAATTAAAAATTGTAATTTAAAGGGATAATTCTGAGGAATATACTCGTACATATTGCTCCAAAAAATAATATTATGATAAGCTTGTCTTTTCTATATGTTAAAATGGTCGCAAAAAATAACATATAGACCAAAGCTATTATTCGCCCTTTGCCTCATCATCATCAGCCTATTAATGTCCTCACTGCTGGGGCACAGGCCTTCCTTAAGGATGGAATAGGGAGATTGGGCCATAACCAACCACGTGGGAACAGTGTGGATTGGCGGGTGTTAACGACTGCAGATGTAGCCTGGATCAACGGCTTGACGTACCTTCCGAAGCACGGAGGAGCTCAAGATAGTAAATTTTTGGTCACCCATCCAATGACCGACCAATGCGAAAGTTGCTTAACTTTAACGTTCGCAGCAGAACGCGCTAACCACTTGCGCCATCGAGCTCCCTTTGCCTACCCTGATCCAATCTCCTGTCCCGTAGAGCAGAACACAACGCCATCAAAACATTACATGATATTTCACTGTGACCTCCTGTTTCAAGACATTTCCCCGAACAGGATATAATTAGGTTTTTACTATTATTATTATTTGTCTTTTATTTATTTTCAGGTACCATAGTGGATTACAAATACAGTTCAAATATGTTTAAATTCACCAGAGTCCCGACAATGAATCCTTATCATACTTTGGCATTGGGGCCAGACGATTATTTCGGTAAGTTTAGTTAGTAAATACAAATCAACATACAAAACAGTCATAATTGTTTGATTATCAAAATTTTAACATTAAATAATTTCATACCCACTTCTTGAATGGCTTTAGTCTTCCTAGTACATACTGCTGCTACCAAAATTTCGTCGTGCTAGTGAGAAAACCTACTAACTTTTTTTTTTCAACTCCGTTTTTCTGTAAAATCAGTTAATCATCATCTTTGAATTGAGATTTAGTTTACAAATTAGCACGTAAAGGACATTGGGCAAAAATGTATGGACGCTGCAGCCACGTCCGCCACGGCTTAAACTACATTTGTTTGAAAGGTATTATAGTCATGATCGTTTGTGCCAAAGCGCATCAAATTCCATCCCGGGAGCCTTTAGTTATTTTAAGTTAAATAGGTACAAGTACTATGACGAACGAACATTAATGAAACAAGGGAATTAATTTAGTTAGTTCGACACTACATAGGGGGCTCAGGTATTATGGGAGTACTTCACAAGGTTTAAGAGTTTGACAAAACCGATAATTGTGTTCCAATGTCCAACACGTGTTAGATAAAAATCAATCAAGTGACAGGGAGCGCATAATCACAACGAAGTAAGACGACTCCACTATTTGCAACTGCAAGTCCTTCAACCCCCGTTAACCGCTTTGAGGTGGCTCAGTAAGTGCAAGCGCTTAATGGATCGGCAGGCTTTGTCCTATATCTGGTTATTTAATACGATATAGCATATTATTATGGTTACTAATAATATAAAATAAAGATACTATAAAATGTATTTATTTAGCTACTTAAATATGCCCATGTGTCATATCTTTTGACTAGGTACCAGAATATTTTTTACGGTGTCATATCTTTTGACTCCCAGGATATTTTTACGGTGTCACAATAAAAAAGGCTAATTTTTCATAGATCTATCGATTCATACTAATTACATTGTTTGCGGAGCTGGGTGTGTTTTGCTCATTGTCCTTTAGCAACACAAATTATGAACAACACGTTAATTGTATTATTAAAAAAAAACATTCAATTTACATCTTGGAACAGTTTGTGATCACAACCCTCAAGTTATTATTAAGCTCATTAATGGTTTTTTTCAAATTTGTTAGTAACTTTCCAAATATAGTACCTACACGAAGTAGTAATAACAAATACTTTGCAAATAAGCTTCCATAAAGAGATGACACACAAATTAAGACGCGATGATTTAAATGGCTTCATCATTAAATAAATTAGACAATGGCTATTCATACTAAACTACCTGTCATTTTAGGTTATAGTGTTGAGTCAGGTGTTTTCGAGGAAACCGGGATTATTTTAAACGTAGCGGGAGCGCCTCGTTCTGGCAAAGGATATGGACAGGTAAGTAAAATAAAACCTAAGTATAAAGAAATTAACTGGAAAACCATAGGCTTTAAGATATATTATAATTTGATAAGATATTTATATTCTAGATTTGAAACCGTAACTATTTCCTTTCTTACTCCTACTCTGTTCGCTTGTGGAATTCATTACCGGAATCCATTCGAAGGGCTCGCACTCTGGACTTGTTCCGTGAACAAGTTAAGCGTCATTTACTATCTTTACTTTGAAAATACCTCTTTCCTTTATTTATTTGTTTTTTTTTCATATAAATATGCATCTATATTATTATTACCGTTTTTATTTTATTTTATAATTAATAAAAGTACCTACGCTTAATAATTTTAATTTGAGCGAATATTTAAACATTACCAAAACAACTAATACCTATTTTACAAAATAACAACAAAAGACATTCAAATAAACTATTTAAAGACTAAAGTCGCGCTGATAAGTACGGTTTCTCAATATTTCTCAATTATTGTCTGTCAATAAGGTCGAACGCTCTGAACGCATCAACAGCCAAATATTGAAGCTCGCTCGCTCTCTTTTTTTCATTTTTTTTGTTTCCTCCCAGGCGGGGGAGCAGGTGAGAAATCCTCATGGATACCCTACAGCCGGCTGCAAGGTTATGTCAGACTCGTACTGACTAAAAAACACCCGTAGGGGCTGCCTCTGGCCGGGAAGGCCTCTAAGGCTTCATCGGAAGCGATCGCCCCCAGGGGGGGAGCGACGCAGAAAACAGATTTAGACAGCTCGCTCTCGGACCTCCCGCCTTTTGATACCCTACCGCCGCCGCGACCCGTGTCGAGCGCGGCAACCGTTACACAAAAATAATCCTTATACTCGTAGCATGATTCAGTATTCACGTGCGACGGCGCGATGGCTTATTTCATGTATAAGTTTGGTGTTACCGATACCGATTACGATTTCTATGTTTTGTTTTTATTGAATAGGCAATAATGTTAACTTTTTTAAATTAGGGATGAGTCAGAGTATTATAAACGTAAGAGTAAACAAATATGATCAGAATGCTCCGAACTGCTAAGCTATCGGGAGTTACACGTGTTACTGTGAGTCAACCATAAAAGATAGACATATGCTGTTGCAGGATATTTTTTAGACAATTTTATGTAGAATATTTCCGTCATACATGATTTCTATCTAACTTGAATTATTAAGACTGCACACGCGACGGAAGCTTAAAAAATGGAGTAACTTCTCCCGTTTTCCCAACATTTCCCTTCACTACTCTGCTCCTATTGATTCTAGCGTGATGAAAAGTATACTATAACCTGCCCAGGAGTATGAAGAATAATAGTACCAAGTTTCGTTAAAATCCGTCGAGTAGTTTTTGTTTCTATAAGGAACATACACACAGACAGACAGACAGATAGACAAAAAATTTACTGATTGCATTTTTGGCATCAGTATCGATCACTAATCACCCCCTGATAGTTATTTTAAAAATATATTTCATGTACAGAATTGACATCTCTACAGATTTATTATAAGTATGTATAGATATTGCTCTTACACCCTTCCCCCTTTTCTTTGCCTGGGTTGCCTGTTGTCATGGAAGAGATTGCTATTTAGCAATAAGGCCGCCCATTGTGTAATGTCTCTCTGTCAGTGTAATCTTACTGTTATGTCCTTTGTGGTGTTATACAATAAAGAATATTATTATTATTATTTATTTAATCTAAGTAACAATGCACTGTCTGTGCGACTACTCTATCTACTAATTAAACAACCGTGCTATTCTCTAAAGTGAAATGTTTGACGTTATCACAAACACGTGTGGCACAATAAGCATTATCACAGCCTATGATACTAATAACAACAACATGATACTATATAGATAGATTATATGATACTAAAAAAATAAACTAATTTACAAAATATGCAGTCTAATAGTTTCTCTTAAGTAGACCGAGAAAAAAAATCTGTCAGAAATTCGACACGTACATTAGGTCTCCGTAGGATAATTGTTAAGTGCGTCCTCACGAATAGCGGAAGGTGCGGGTTCAAATCCCGGACCGAGTGATTTTTTTCTACTATATCTCAAATGATTAAAATAAAAATGTTTTAAAGAGACAAATATACAGGTAAAAAAACCTATGACAAAGACTAGGACTACGCATCCTGTACATCCAAACAAGTAATATTACAAAATATTATACGTGGGAAACATATGTATTTTCTAGTTAAAAAAAATCAATTTTTATTCCAGTGCCCAATGTATAGTTCCAGTACACAAACAATGTGCCTGTTTGTATATGTGTGCGTGTGTGTAAGTGGGTCGATAAAAAAGTTTCTAAACAACATTTTGTAAAAATCTTGAAAAAAAAAATTGTGACTTTGACCTTCAATATTTCCATAACCATAAATTTCCCAGGTATGATCCAGAAGGAAAAAATGATCGTCATGACGTGGAAAATACGTGGCCTTCGACTTCGTTAAAGGTTTTTTTACACCCTGTATAAACCAGATACTTTTCTAGGTTCTTCTATTCGAGCCTACCACCCGTGAAACGGATCCCTTGAAAATCAAGGCACAGCTCATAGGACCCCAGTTGGGCTCATATTTTGGGGCAAGCCTCTGCGCCATCGACATTGATGGAGACGGCTTAAGCGACCTTTTGGTCGGCGCACCGAATTACGTGAAACGCGACGGAATTATCAAGTACGACCAAGGGGCGGTGTTTATCTACATGTCTAGGAAAGAGGTAATCCATTATCTAGTAGGACATAATAGAGTCATTAAATTAAACAATTGTTTTTGTAGGATAATAAATTTTATGTAAAAACTCGTGAATATAAGTTATTTTCGGGATTGTTACCATGTACCTTGTTTTTAGCGAGTTTTCGATATTTCGGCACTGTTGCTGCCGATCCGATATTGTAAGTGTTGTGTGCCGAGAACAGTTTCGAGTGAATAGTGAGAATGTGAACAGTGGTACGAGTAACGAACGCAATAAAAGACTTCATCGGAGGGTAGACCGAAATGTCTGCCAATAACAGCCTACCCGCAATTACTTCAGTTACTCCGATCCGATGATCATGGCGCTTGCAACAGTGCCGAAATATCGGAAACTCGCTAAAAACAAGGTACATGGTAACAATCCCGTAAATAACTTATCCATACTAATATTATAAATGGGAAAGTGTGTTTGTTTGTTTGTTTGTTTGTCTTCTCTTCACGCCTAAACCGCTGAACCGATTGTGTTGAAATTTGGTAAATGTATAGCTTGAACTTATGAGCCTGCTATAGGCTACTTTTTTTTAATTTATATATTCGAATTTACATAATTTTCAACTAAATTAATCATTTTCATGGTTGGTCCCGATAGAGATGGCGCTATCTGTCACGAAGACAGATTAAATTTGAAATGTGGAAGTTGCTATCTTAACTTAATAATACGAGATGGCACCACTCGTGTTCAATACCGAGTATTTTGTGTTAGTGTTTCATTTATTAAATACGCAATAAAGGTAATTTTACGCAATTTCTTTCTAATCTTATTTTTAAAATTAAATCTAGCAAATACTACTCCAAATTTACAATATAAAAATATCATTTTCGAGTGATTATAGATAGAAATGGTGCTACCATCTCGAATACCAACTCAACCGAGTAGTCTCTCTTGAAATAATATTTTCTGAGTAACTTATCAGATGGCACCACCCGTCTTTAATATCGAGAATTTTTAATTGCTAAAAATGTGAGTTGTGATATTGCGTTTTTTCAGATCGCGCTATTTATGAACATGACTTTTTAATATTTATTGTTAATTTTAACGTCATGTAGGTAGATATTTTAATTAAAACAATATTAGTAAAAAAAAACGACTTCCTTCAGTGTCCTAATATCTTACCAGAAAATCTTATAAACATCAAATAGATATTAAATAATCAGCTGTTTACAGTAGACAGATATTAAATAAACAGCTGTTATGATTTATTTTAGTCCCTTAATCGAGTATTATCCAATAATTTTCAAGTGGAGATGATCCTGGATGTTGAGTAGAGGTAGGCGCTACCAACTCGAATAACAATTCGAAAACCAAGCTGTTGCGTGTGAAACTGAAGAGATGTCGCTACCCGAGTCGAGTTTACTTGCACTAAAAATCTGAGGTTTTTCGGATGGCGCTATTCATGAACATTACTTTTTTATATTTATTGTTTTTAACTAGCTGTTACCCGCGGTTACGCTCGCGTGGTTTTCCTATTTGAGGCTATCATCCTCTTTTGACATAGTGAGTAAAAAAGTAGCTTATAGCAACCCAAAGCTTCAACCTATTAGTGCAGTCATTAAAGCGAAAAATACGCTCTTACCTCCGAATTTTTTTACTGTGAACCGTTTTGCATGAAATTTTGGAATTAGGCTCACCTTACCCTTAACTTCAAAAGTGAAAATGATCTGAACTCCGTCTATTATTTTTAAGGGGTGTAAACAACCCCTTAATGGAAAAATTGACATTGAGCCATTTTATAGCTAGAAACATGTCTAATAGTAAGTGATGAAATCGAAAAGTATTTTCTAACATAATTACCCCATATTAAAATCATTTTCAACCCCTTGAAAATCTTACAACCCTTGCAAACAACCCAAGAATTTCAATTTAGAAAAATCACAAAAAAATACTTTGGTATGACATAAAAAGATTTTGTATTAGAATGCATAAAATGCATCTGCTCGCCGCTAGATGGCATTGACCACATCGATTAAATTTCAGACAAAATAAAAAACAGTTTTGATCTTTGATATCTAGCTTAATATTGCACTTAGAATACTCTATAAAAATACCAAATTGTTCATTGTTTTACCTGCTACAATTTTGTTCTTTATAAAATTTTCGATAAAACTTACATTTTTGGAGATATTTGCTAAAAACCGATGAAAAACGGGAAAAAATTTCGAATTTTCAATTGCCAATAACTTGAAAAGTATTGGATTTTTGAAAAACTTTATAGATGATTTTTTGCTTAAAATTTATTACAATACTTATTTTGAAAAAAAAATCACCCCCCAGAAGGGGTGGCAACCATCATTTTTACTTTTGAAGTTAAGGGTAAGATGAACCTAATTCCAAAATTGTATGCAATTCGGTTCACAGTAAAAAAATTCGGAGTAATAATGCTTCAATGACTGCACTATATATACTTACCAAATTTCAAAGTGGTTTAGGCTTCGAGGAAGGATAAACAAAACAAACACTCTCATAATAATACCTAATACTACTATGGATAGTACGTAATAAAACTTCAAAATGTAAAAGCATTAGGTTTATTAGAATAAAGGGTTTAATTATTTTAAACACATAGCAGTACTATTTAAGTACGCTACTGTACACGATGTTATGTGTTTTTCCATATTTTTTATCAGTGAGTCAATTTTATACATTCGAAGAAACTACCAAAATACCTACCTAATTCATTTAATGCACAACAAAACCAAATCACAAAGGAAAACAAAAACAGATATGGTACCTTGGTAAATTGTATTTCTTTAAAATCAATCAAGGTAGGTAGGTACCTACTGCTTGCTGTTGCTTACCTGCTGAAGTGGCTCAATGTCAATTTTGTCCATTAAGGGGTTGTTTACACCCCTTAAAAATAATAGGCGGAGTTCAGATCATTTTCACTTTTGAAGTTAAGGGTAAGGTGAGCCTAATTCCAAAATTTCATGCAAAACGGTTCACAGTAAAAAAATTCGGAGGTAAGACCGTATTTTTCGCTTCAATGACTGCACTAATAGGTTGAAGCTTTGGGTTGCTATAAGCTACTTTTTTACTCACTATGTCAAAAGAGGATGATAGCCTCAAATAGGAAAACCACGCGAGCGTAGCTGCGGGTAACAGCTAGTATTACTATAATGTTAATGACCATGAAAGTTTAAAACAATAAACTCGTGAATGTATGTGAAAAAGTAAAAATAGAAAGCACACATTACAGAAAGATGACACTTCCAGCAGGGTTGCCAGAGGTGATTGTCTTTGACATTGCCCGTAAACATTTTGCACGACGTTAGGGCCGCAACATCTTCCCGCCTCGTTGAAATATTATTTCAACTTGTCTGACTCTGTTCTTCTCTGGTGAGGAGAGGGCCTAAATGGACCTAAGCTCTGCGGATGCAATCTCTATTTTTCATTTAGTGCGCTACTGTAGCTCAGATACACATATATTCTTTAGACCATCTTCTCTAGAAATGTTGGTGAATCTGATCTAAACGTTGATCAACACTTCAAAGTATGTTCCTTTGCATCTTCTAAAGCTGGAGAAGGAAAGCAGTGAGAGGCTTTCCTAGAGGCTTTCCTATTATGAAATATCCGGGAGTCAATGGTAGGAAGTTATTGGAAGATGACAATAGGGGATACAGGGGTTGGCTGTTTAAAATAGCCTCTATTTGAGCAAACAAAGTTGTAAATTCTTCATACGTTAGATGAGAATTGCCAATAACGCATTTTGCATGGTATTTTGCTGATTTTAACCCGACTTCCCAGATGCTGCAAGAAAGGAGCGTAGGCAGGAGAGAAAACAAGTTTTAATGGTTTATCGATTTACAAAGTCAGATAGTGGTACCGTATTAGTTTTTAAAAATTTACCTACCTCCTTGGCGGCTGCGACAAAATTGCGACCGTTGTCACAAAATATTTCTAGTGGTTTTCCTCGTCGCGCTATGAAACGCCATTACGTCATTATAAAGCTTTCCTTTGATAAATAGCTAACACATTCCAAATGAGTGCATTTGTAAGGCAAGCATATAAATACGCATAAGTAGGACTTGACTAAGCGACTACCGCTTCCTCTACCATTTAAAATATTGAATGGTCCAGCAAAGTCTAATCTAACGGACAACATTTTTAAATTAGAAGTGGTTCGTTGTGATGGTAGATTGCCCATTTTAGGGTTTAAAGTTTTTCCTCGGACACACTTTTACCTGACACACCTAAACACATTAAGTGTCGCCGCACACGGGCCACACGCCACAGCCATAAACGCCGCCAAGAGAAGCTAGAAGCGGCTACTAAGTGGCTGAAGCGCGCGACAGCGGCCGACTAAGGTAAGGAAGAGAGGGGTGGGGAATCGCGCGAGTGACGTATGGCGGCGCTTTGTATCGGCGCATTAAGTGGCCGGTGCGGGCCACAAGAAGCGAGCAACGATGATTTGTAGCGTGTGGCGGCCACCGGCGTACCGTGTGTGGCGAGTCCATATAAAATGTATGAAAACTACAAGAAATATATATGCCAGTGGCGGCGTTTTGTGGTTGTTGTCGGTGGCTCGTGTGCGGCGACACTAAGTCATACTAAACACCTGCCATTGATCGGCGGCCAAACGGTTTCACGTACAGTTCTAACAGTAATTGAGGACCCGCACAAAGATTTCGAAAAAGCTCCCGTTCAAAATTTTACTTAGTCAAATGGTAAGATGAATAAAGTAGAATTAGATGTTTTCTTTCATAGCTACAATGGGTAAATTTATCACTTTCCTTTTCTCTTTCATCATCATCATTAACAGCCTATCCTAGTCCACTGCTGGACATAGGCCTCTCCAATTGCACGCTTCTGAGGTCGATCTTGGGCTGACTTGGGTCACTCCATCGTTTCCTCTTTCAAATTTGGTTAAATATTTTGTTAATTTCGCTTCCTGTTGATTGTATTTTTTTAGAAGCCAACTTGTAAAAATAAAAATAAAAGTCTTTAAAGGATCAGGATAATGAAACTGTTTCTTCTCTTACAGGATTTCCGTTTTGTCCTAAGTGAATCAGGCCATGTAATGGGATCTCGGCAGAGCGGAGCTCGTTTCGGGACTACTATAGCTGACTTGGGAGACGTGGATAGCGACGGATTCAACGGTAAGTTAGCTGTTATCATCATCTGTTTATTCAATGTGTCAATTTTGAACTTCATGCTGAAGAGAAAGAGTTTCCTCCAGCATGTCTCACCCATTTGGGGATCCCACTCTTACAGAAACTTGATCGCTCAATAAGCTATTTGACAGAATGAAAAATAGTGTACCAATTGTTGGTATTTAATATGGATATTAGAAGCGATTTTACTATACTGAAAGAACAAATAATTTATAACTTTTCTATAAAATCATTAATAGGCTAATCATGAAGCGAATTTGTTCTAGACGTAGTAATAGGAGCTCCTTGGGAAGACAATGGTGCCGGCGCCGTGTACATATACAGAGGCAGTGAGGACGGACTACGTGCTCAGTATACCCAGAGAATTCACGCGGAAGGTGCAAAGAGCTTTGGCATAGCGGTGTCTAAAGGTTACGACGTGGACAACAATGAATGCAATGGTAAGAGCTCGTGTCAACCAACACTGAAATAAATTTATCCTTAAAACTAACGTAAAAAATGCCCCTAGATACAGTATTACAAACCTGGAAGAGTTTAATACCATAAAGAAACACCCACTTAGTCCTTTTTGTAGTATTCTTAATATGAAATGTTATTCCAATGTAGAATAAAGGCTAGTTATAAATGCTTTTTATAAAACCACTAAAAATCACTTAACTTCAACTTAAAGTTGGAAAAATGTCAACTGATCTAGATGAAATTTGATTTGGGACATTTTTCCAACTTTACCTTTAAGTTTTTATATATATATAGATTTCTAGTTAAAATATTGTTTTATGTCTATCAGTATGTGTCCTATCCGTTACCCTTGTCTCATAAGTAACACAAGCCTTCTTGCTGTTGCAAGAACACACAAACTGACAGAGAAACAGACACACTTTAGCATTTAAAATATTAGTATGGATGTAAGCGCAGATTACTACAAGAGTAAAAGTTAAATTACCGCTGCGGTACCCCAAGCACGAACAAGTAGATAGTTAGCGACAAATATTCGTATCACCATCGTTAATTTAATTTAAGCATATTAAACGTGAAAATTTCCATTTAAATGGCAAAAATATAAAGTGACCGTCGTAAATAAGCTGTACAAACGTTTTCTCGCAAAATAACAGTGTACGAAAAAGATAAAATAACAAAACAGTTTACTTGCCTATCTCCGTGAATATTTTTCGTTTTTTGAAGACGTGAAGAACACTCAACATTAATATTAGCACCAATAAGTGAAGGATAAAGAAAACCAGAAATATGTTACATTTAACAGTGAGTAAACATTAAACAAACCCTTTATTAAACAAACTGATTTGTCCCAAAAGCTGTTGACATTTCTCTAGTAGGGTATACAAACATCAGCTGGTTTACTTATCAACAAACAGCTGTGCGATCTAATACGAATATAACTCTGACGAAACAATATATTTGCGCCATCTATTCACCACAAGGAGGATTACAAACTTAATACCTGTAAAATGGATGAAAACTGTAAAATATGCAAAAAGTCCGATATAAATATAAAAACATTAAAATGCATTACTTGTAATCAGAAGTATCACATAACCTGCGGAAATGTGTCTGAAAAGAGATTTTATCTTATGTCTAAACAAAATCGAGAAAATTGGAAATGTGACGAATGTATTCAAAAAACACATACTCACCATATCATTGAAAATATATCGGTTAATAATTCTTTTCAATCCTTGACTGATGAAGAAGAAGCATATATTTCACCAAAAAATCGATCAAACAGCAGTTGTCCCAACTTAATAAGATTAAACATGGAAGGTAAAATAGATGAACTAGAACGACAAAAGAAAATATTACAGGAAAAATTGGCTATTGCAGAGAACGAAATCGAAAATTTAATATCAGAAAGAAATAATCTAAGACAGCAACTAACAAAACAACAATCAAAAGGTAAATACGTAGCAGATATTTGTAATAGTAGCTCAAAGAAAAATATTACTCACAGAAGGAAAAGAAGTAATTTAAATGGTCGGTTATTGGATTTTTCACAAGAAAATAATAGTCCAACCACTAATATAATTAGCACGACGCCATCTAGTGAAACAAACAAAAACAAAAGTAAAGTATCTCCGGTGCTTAACATCTCAACAACTGGTCATTCAGTATCATTTTCAACACAACCAACAGATGTCTCTTATATTAAGGAGCAACAAAATAGTTCTAAAAAATCGAAAATTTATATAATTGGCGATGATCAAGTATTGGGTCTTGCACAACAAATAAAAAAGGCTCGTTCCGGAAAATGGAATGATAACTATGAAGTTACCGGTATGGTGAAACCCTCGGCATCAAGCTCACAAATATTAAGTAGTTGTACTAATTTAAAGAACTCATTGACTAAAGAAGACATAATTATTTTATCTATTGGTTCAAACGATAAAAGCCCCTATATTGTTATTTCTAACTTATGTAATACTCTGTGCAATTTAAACATTTGTAAAATATTTATATTAAGTGTACAGCATAATAGCTATGTTAATATAAATAAGTTAAATACAAAAATCCATTTAATTACTAAGAATTATGTAAATTGTTCATTCATAAACATTAGGGCACTGACAAAAAGAAATTGGTTAAGCGACATGTCAATCAAAAGTTTAATGAGTTTTAAGTTAAATGTAGAAATCGACCATTTAAAGTATGTTAATGACTACATAACAAATGTTACTCAATCTATACAATTATATAAGAGAAACTATATTTCGGGAATTTCTGGCCAGAAAAAGAACCAAACTGCACAACCTAGGAAGGGCACTATACCCTTCTATTTTTCTGCATTAAAAACACCATCACTCAATTTCATACAGCCACAAAAAAATAATGAGACAACTTTTTTTCGGTCCTCAATTGCACGGTAAATTTTGTATTTTGCATCAGAATATACAGGGTTTGTTGTCCAAAAAGGAGGTAATTGAGATTACATTGTCAAAAGAAAATTGTTTATATCCAGATGTCATTTGTTTTTCAGAAACATTTGTAAAGAGAGGGGATGAAAAAAATATAAATATTAATAATTATCAACTTGCATCACATTTCTCAAGAAAAAATAAAAGGGGAGGGACTTGTATTTTAGTCAAAAATGGAATATCATTTAAAAAAATTACCACATTTGATGATATTGCACTAAATTTTCATTTTGAGTGCTGTGCTGTTGATATTCCTGCACAAGATGTTATCATTGTTTGCGTGTACCGGTCATCAACTGCTACGAAACGGAGACACTATGAATGCTTTTTTGACAAATTTGAAACTTTGCTATATAATTTTCTACGTAAATATAATAAAAAAAGACTAATAATATTGGGTGACATAAATATAAATACTCTAATTGAAAATAAATCAACTAAACAACTCACAGATATTCTAATAAATTACAACTTAAAACAACACATAACTCAACCAACTAGAGGGCGCTCATGCCTTGACCACATATTCAGTAACGTTGCAGGAGCCTCTGGTTCTCTAATCCCGCTCTGCCTCTCTGATCATGATACGGCCCAGATACTTACGTTCAATAGCAAAATCAAACCAAAAATAGACAAAGCAATGTTCACTTTTAAAAGATGCTACTCACAGGAAAATATTGAAAAATTCCAGGGTTACTTAAAAAGTTTATCCTTCTCTGAAGTTTACAAAGAAAAAGACCCCCAAACCGCCTTCAATATATTTTATGAATGGTTTTGTCTGCTATACAAACTGTGCTTTCCCATTATTAAAATAAAAATTAATACCGCGAGAAATCTGTCGTGGATAACAAAAGGACTCAGGAAGAGCTGTCTCACAAATAGAAAACTAAGACTTAAACATTTAACGAAATTAAATAGCAATAATAAATTTAAATATAAAAAATATTCAAAATTGCTAAAAACGTGCATCCTTATGGCTAAAAAATCAACAAATAATAAATATATATTAAAAAGTAAAAATGTATGTAGGGCAACTTGGAATGTAATAAAAAACGAAACTGGTCTCGAATCGTATTACAACAATTTTATAGACAGAATTAAACACAATGACACAATTATTGAGGATCCAAATATAATAGCTTCTATTTTTAATGACTTCTTCAGTACATTGACAGATAACAATTCAAATAATAATGATAATTCCAATAATTATTATAATACAAATAATCCTAATAAAAAAAACTTATGTGACAACTTAACCAATTCAATTTATCTTTCTCCTATTAACGCATGTGACATTAAGAAAACTATCATGACATTGAATAATACAAACTCTGAAGGCTATGATGAAATTAACACAAAGGTTATTAAAAGCTGCAGGGATCAGATAGCCACAATATTAGCATACTTAATAAATTTATCTTTGGAAACTGGGACTTTCCCAGATAAACTGAAATATTCAATTGTTAAGCCACTCTTTAAAAAAGGTTCTAGGTTAGAGTTAGACAATTATCGACCAATTACACTAATACCAATTCTATCTAAGATATATGAAAAGATAATGCATGATAAACTTACGTCATTCTTTGTTAAGTACAAAGTATTGAATGATAATCAATATGGCTTCCTGAAAAATAAATCGACTACACTTGCTGCCTTTGAGTTAGTAGATCATACTCTAAGAAGTATAAATGATAGGAAGGAAACTTCAGTCCTTCTATTTGATATGTCAAAAGCTTTTGACTTTGTATCACACAATAAACTATTTTTTAAATTGGAGCAAAGTGGAATTAGAGGTAAAGCACTAAGTTGGATCAAGTCATACCTTCAAAATAGGATGCAGTCAGTGGAAATTGCTCAACTTAGTAATAAACAAGTGATACATAAAGAACAATCAAATTTCACAGAAACTAATTATGGTGTGCCCCAAGGCAGCATTCTCGGCCCTTTGCTGTTTTTAATCTATGTGAATGAGTTACCTAAAGTGACGAAACATAAATGCATCCTATATGCTGATGACATTTCAGTTGTAGTAACAACTGATAAAAATCAAAACATAAATTACCATGAAAATGACATAAATAAAACAATTGAATCGATAATAACGTGGCTTAATGATAACAATTTAAAAATCAATATTAACAAAACACATTATATAAACTACGGTTACAATCAGACATTGAATATACATTATGGGAATCATTGTATTAAAAAAACAAGCAGTGCTACTTTTCTGGGCATTGAGCTTGACCAAAAAATTGATTGGAAATTACATGTAGACAAGGTATGCAATAAAATAAATAGATTTGCTTACGCACTTTTTAAACTTACTAAAACAGCAACTAAAAATACGGCTCTAACAGCGTATTTTGCTTATGTGGAATCGGTCTTGCGATATGGGCTTATTGTTTGGGGAAATAGTACGGACATACAAAGGGTATTTGTAGCACAGAAAAAGTGCATAAGGGCAATATGCGGGATTGCACCAGATATGTCATGCAAACCATTTTACAAACCCCTAAATATTTTGCCTCTGCCATGCCTCTATATCCTGGAGATATCTAAGTTCGTAAAGTTAAATCAAAATTACTTTAAAACTGCCCGTGAGATATTTCCTACAAATACAAGACATGGTAAAAGGTTAGTCATTGATACAATCCCGAAAAGCACACGTTTTAAAAAGAACTGTTACTATATGTGCATTCAAATTTTTAATAATATTCCACATTCAATAAGAGATTTGCCTTTCAGTAGATTTAAAATAACACTACGTAGATGGCTCATTGAACGTAAATTCTACTCGGTCCAGGAATTCTTGAATTATGATAGCTAATATATAAATAATAGTAATTTTGGTGGATGAGATTTTGAGTGACATATACTGATTTAATTATATTTTTGATTCACATTTTAATATGACCTGATTTTAATCGAATTTTTATATTTTTGACTATTTATTTTGTGACCTGTTAAGTAATTTTTATTCAATCATGTGACATAGTATTAATTAATTTGATAAAAAACTGATGTAAATTTGCATGCTACGTTCTATAGCTGAATAGGTGAAACCTACAGTAAAGTTATGTGTAACTATTTATGACCTTGATTACCCTGTTCAAACGCAAATAAATAATTATTCTATTCTATTCTATTCTGTCAAAGTTTCCATACAAACTAGGCAGCGCCCCTACCGGACGTAAGAACAAACTAGCATCTTACATAGAAGCTTTGGGTAACGAGTGATTCCCCCCATATTCGTTTCCCCCGAACTATTTTCTTTGACTACTACCTCAATTTCACCTGTTGCCTCGTCTACACATCGACAGTTGCGTCCGCAGACGTCGACAGATACATCAAAAGATGGATCACTACGAGCCGACCACACGTCTGATGACGACCACAGGTCAGGTCATTCAGTCTGCGTTCATACTTGACAATAATAATAATCAATAATCAATGCAATGACAGATGCAACTCATACGTACACATAAAAAAAAGTTGAGATCGTAGCTGCCGAAGCTATTTATTTACTTGTACTTTTAACTACCACTTAGGGGCATGGCATCATAGTAGAATTATTAAAAGAAATAGAAAAGAAGAAGGTGCCGGCAATTTTTCGGTCCACACGTCTCAGGACGCATCAGTAGTTCTGGAGTTGCGAATGAGAGTGAACGCATGCTTGCAACTATTTTTTGCTTGTCTGTTACTCTTGTTCGCCGAAATGGCTAGTATTATGAGCACTGACGAAACATTAAAATCCCTTGAGTTGTGTTCAAGCAGAAAACTACATGTGGAATCCGAAAAATAGCCAGTAGACACCACCTTCCTTTTTCTATTTCTTTTAAAAAAATATAGTGCGATCCACCTCAAGAAGCAGTTAAAAGTACTTCATTATTAAATAATTGTGTTAGCAAATAATCTCAACATTTATTTTTTTAATGCTGCGTGCGAACGAGTTACGTCTGTCGCGAATGAACACGGATTGAATGACCTTCAGACGTCGTCAGACATGTGGTCGGCTCATGCTGATCTAACTGCTGATGGATCTGGCGACGTGGACGCATCCGCCAACTTGTAGAGCGGACATAATAGATTGATGGCAGACGCATCTGCGGACTTTAAATACCTACCACATTCGAAGATCGCATCTGAGATGCATCTGCGTACATGGAGAGGAGTCGCGGTATTGTTTCGTTTTGTTTGCTTGGGGGGTGGCGAGAAGTGCGAGTCGAATGTTTCGGTACAGAGATCTGTGTATCCGTTCGAAAAAGATTTGTACCGAAACTAGTCAGGAAGCTTTCATTTAATAACATGAATTGAGTAAATAATCTTTATACATTCGGTACAGCAACAAAAACCAAAACGATACCGCACCGACACAATGAGGAAGAAGCCTTAGTGTGATGAACCTGAATTTGTACGTTTCCTGTAAAACTCTCATATAATTGACGTACCTATTTAAAATATTCAAAAATTATCCTGTTTTTCTTCATAATAAACTTAAAATTGTTATATCCTCATTGCGCCGTATTACTGTTGTTTTCCTGAAATTTCTCTATATATAAATTTTATCATGTTTAAGTACCTACCAAATATTTCAATGACTAATAAAATTAACCGGAATGGTATTGATTAAATTAAACAAAGCATAATTTATAAATTCACACATTACAATGCAAAAGATAAAATAATCATGCATTAACATTAATAGACATTGATAAATATATATATATATATATATATGTTTCCATCGTTTGGTCCCTCTTGAGGACAGGCGCACTATGCTCGATATGACATTTCTCTACGTTTGCAATGGGAATATAGACTGCACTGAGCTTGCCTCTTCATTTTTAACACTACACACCCACTACCCGTACCAGACATACATCATCTTTCTTTTTCGCAATTCCTACATGTCGCACAAACTATGCACAAAACTCAGTTGTTTTTCGATCGCAAAGTACATACAATATTCACGGCTGTTTACGGATATTTACTTGCAAAAGTAAAGCATCTTTTAAAAAACAACTTTTAGGTCTGATGGTTGATTGGTAATATACAAACAAAAATGAAACACTTACACATGTACACATATATACACGCAAACGCACACACAACGCACACACACACACATAAAATAGCGCGCGTGCATTGTACATATCTCGCCCTTGTTTGGTAGAGGGTTTCTAAACCATTATGCTATAACTAAAAAATTAAAATCCGTAATTGGCATTAAGATAAACTATTTTGTAAAACCTGTATTATATTAAGAAAATGCTGTGGATTTTGGTCTAGAATTAAATAAATAAATATATAACTATTTTAATTAAGATAAGATATTTATTTTTAAGATAACTTCGCTGTGCCTTACCACTTTTATCGTATCGTATTCCGGGAGAATACACCGTCCCTTGGACTAAAACAAAAAAAGCAAGAAACGGTACGCTTACACTAGCAGAAAATAAAAATATGCTCCAACTTAAGCTTTACTCGCACACGTACACTTCTGTAATAAACATTTCATCGAGCGAGCGACACCGAACATTACCCCTAGCACGAACCAATATCCAATTCGTATCGTTTGCGAGTACGAAATGTCAATGTCAAATGTGTACTGATTTTAAGTTCTTGTCACGTCCGTGGTGGTGCTGCTGTTCAAGTTTCCATACAAAATTTGACAATGACATTTTGGACTGGTAAACTATTCGAATTCGCAATCGCAAATCGCAAAATGTTAAAGTGTGATGGTAAACCAGAAGTTTGTTGTGTTTGAATTTCTGTGTTGAAAATGCATAAAACAAAATATAATTATTAATTTTACGATCTTCTTTCTAGACATAGCTGTGGGCGCTCATAACAGCGGCACAGTGCATCTGTACCGGAGTGTGCCCACCATACAAGTGCTTTCATCAATTAAACTGCCGGACGCTAAGGACATGAAGCAAAACGCTACCCACTTCAGCGCTCTGTTCTGCGTCACTGTGCCCAGGACAAGGTCGTCCACGGACTGTGAGATAGGTACCTATTAAAACTATAGTTAATCTGTTTAAGTAAGACATTTTACTAGGATGCCGCGACTTCGTCTACCTGGTTTACCCCTACCCCGATATTCTATTCTGTTCTGTTCTGTTCTATTCTATTGTATTCTATCGGGTAAACAAAAATAAATCTGCCCGAATACGGACGTACTCGACTCCGTTCATTTACAGTCGTTTACCCGAATTTCATTCACACTCGTATTCGGGCTAACGGCTAAGTGTAATCGCGCCATTACTCCCAAAGAAATACAGGATTATGTAAAACAGTACACTGTTTCATAATGAAAATGATAAATGCATGAAACAATATTTTAATTCAACGGGGGTGTTTTTTTTTCAAGAAATGAAAGCTACCATCTTGGTGGACCCCGAAGGTAACAGGGCTAACACACTCGGTGAAGCGGACTACGTTATCAAAGTGAGATCCGGCTTTGATACCTGCGACGAACAAATCATCGAAGTTAAGGTAAGTATTCAATACTACATACAAATACCTCATCGTTTTAATTCTATGGTCAAATAGGGGTGATGACGGGGTACAGTAAACGAAATTCTCTTTAATCCGTCAGTTAGATGATACAAAAATAATGGACACGTATTTTTTCATTGGGCAATCAACCAAAAAATGACAAAGTTATAGCGCGCCAAAGTTTGGGAGTAACGGCTCGTGACGTCACTTTTAAGTAAAAATTGTACCAAATCGTGACATCATGCGACTTTTCAAATCAATATCTCTCTGCAATGTTTATATTATGTGAAAAAAGTTTTTTGATAAACCTGATAAACGAAGAAAAAAAATAATCATCATCCCTATTGCTTTGATGGATCACATTATTTAAAAAAAAAAACAAATAACATCGCATGATGTCAATGTAGATGAGAGTCAGCTTCGAAATTCGCCGTGTACCAAGCAACCTTACAAATAAAACTCAAATCTCAAAAGCATCAAAAATAAAACTCATTGTGGTAGATTACGACAATCAAGGTTTAGATAAAACTCAAATCTTAACAAGTAATTTTTCAGACAAATATTTCACTAAAAGTTAGACAGTAATATTTGTTGTCTATCTTTTAAATTTGTATGGAATTTCATTGCCTGACTTTCGTCGTTTATTGAGTTGCAATTGTTAGGTTATCTCTTAAGTCTTACTAGACTTAACATCTTGACTTAACATTTATCAACGAGAAAATATTAAATTAAAACCTAGGGCATTTAGAAATTCTAAAGAGCCCGATATTTGTCACGGTAGGCATCAGGGGTGATGACTATTTTTTTTTTCTTCATTTATCAGGTAGAATATCAAAAAGTATTGGATACGTATTTTTTCTTTTTTCACATAATATAAACATTGCAGAGATATATTGATTTGAAAAGTCGCATGATGTCACGTTTTGGTACAATTTTCACTTAAAAGTGACGTCACGAGCCTCTACTCCCAAATTTTCACGCGCTATAACTTTGTCATTTTTTGGTTGATTGCCCAATGAAAAAATACGTGTCCATTATTTTTAGATCATCTAACTGACGGACTAAATAGAATTTCGTTTACTGTACCCCGTCATCGCCCCTTTTGTTTATAAATAAACTTGAATTTAAATGTATCCGAGTTGATGAGTTATCATGTTGCTGCCTATTTACGTGTTGCATGCACATCATGGTTTCAAGCAATATTCTGATTCAAACTCCAATTCAATGCATTCAATCAATTATTTATGCGCAAATCAGCGGCTAGATATTTTTTTACTGAATGAGAATAACCAGCAAGGGATGCTTTTCATCATGAATACCGGGTTAGAATGTCTTCTAAATTATATATTACTAGCGGCCCGCCTTCGCTTCGCTTCGGTGTAGAGCTGTAGTGTAGACTACAGTTTTTGTTCTCAGCCTTGTATTATACACAATGAAGTTCATCTATGATTCTTCTTCTACCTGCATGCAGTCTCAGCCCGATCGGTTTAAAATTGACAAAGTTTCATACAAACTTTCATTCCCTATTTTATCCCCTTGGGGGTAGAATTGATCAATATCCTTAGCGGATGCCTACGTCATAACATCTACCTGCATGCCAAAGGACAATGTTAAAATTGGCCTAAGAACCAACACCAATTTGGCATTTATGATAATTCTTAGTATATTTTTTGCGATAATTATCAGTATTTAGATAGTGACGGACACTTCCAGTTAAGTAAGCTAAATTAAAAAGTTAAAAAATAATCTGAGACAATAAATACCATTTTATGTGTTTAATCTATGGCAGCGCTGCAAACAAAACACTCTTTCTTCCTAATGTCGGCACTTCACTTGGCTATTCGTATTTGCTATTTTAAAACATGACATCAGTCTGTCCTTTTCATTCTTTATTAAGCATGACAAGGACAAACTTTTGTCAAGTGAAGGGCCGGCATAAAACTTGATACTCTGTGGTTGTGGTGCATGCAGTTTCATAATAATCTGTGGCATTCGATTAATATACGGGAAAGTGCATTCTCGTTTCGGATTACCTGTTGTGTGTGTTTATTTGCGATTGTTTTTCCTTTAATTTAACTATTTTGGCTATCTAATATGCCATCGAAGTTACCAAAGAGCGGAGACCTTATTACCAAGTGCTAGTGAACCTGTGCCACAACATCCTGAGAGGATCATACTTACTGCCAAATTATTCAAGAGCACCTGATACACATTCACGCTGCATATTTACACAATATACATGTGATATACAAATAAATACAATAAACAATATGATACATTTATGGAAAAAATAGTCAATAAATAAGATGCAAAACTACAGTTTTTATTTTATTCATGATTCCTACCTAACCAAGTTTTTCCTAATAGTTATTCTTTAAAATCGCACCGAATTAAATGAATTAGTTATAATATTAATTCACTTCATACTGAGTTCATACTAAATTCACAGGTTGACCTATGTTTCATTGAATATTAAACATAACCTCAAAAAAATTTTAGTTTTCCTAATAATTTAAGTTCTCAGAAGTGTCCGTCAATAATCTTTGTTTTTACTGTCATTTACTTACGATTTTGAACTTAGAAAATAATATTTCATGAATGTCCTTTCAGCCCGATCCGTCCAGTGGTTTGGGCTGTGCGTTGATAGATCACTATGTCAGTCAGTCACCTTTGAGTTTTATATATATATATATATATATACTTAATCCACCCGATAGTAAGCGGTCACTGTATCCTATTAGATTCTTGCGATACAAAAATATCACGGTAGGAGATTGCTCCTACCCCGTGGACAGAAACAGAAACACAACACCACAACAAGGTAGTGTTATTTTACTGTGCTTTTCTCTAAAGTGGAGGTTACCTCCCCAGAGGGGCGCTTCGATTCGAGCGGCAAATCCTCTATGTCCTACCTCTTGGAAATGATAATATACGACCCATTGTATTGACACATTACTGACACATTGCAAGTCTATTAGCTATAACAGGTACCCTTTTCCCAAAACCTGCTATGTCTATTTGTGTATTATTGATAGTCATTTAGTATGCAGCTAGGATATTTTAGAATGAATATTAGAATCGTTCTCATTCCAGTTAAGAAAAATACCAAGGATTTGTACTTAATACTCATCATCATACCTACTTTAGTTGCCTGAACACATACCTGTGTCTAACACAATTTCATTGAACCTATTTCAGAACCAATCGGATTTGTCGAAGCCTATCTTGCTGAAATTCAATTTGGAACCATTAAAACGTATAGGTTAGTACATTATTTATTTATATAGTAATCTAATTTCTAACTTACTAGGATTTGATAGCTGTACAGAAACCATATAGAACTGTAGCAATTAAAATATTACCCCCTTGTGTTATTTGTCCAATTACTTAATCAAATAATTAATAATCGGAACAAAATCATTTAGTTCGATAACTTTGAATAACCATATAATACGAGTACAAACTGATATTATTATGTATTACTACAATAGAATTAATAGTCTCATATAAAATGTTAAAAATTAAAATAAAATAGAGAGCTACAATTACCCCACTCACAATTGTGGAAGGGGCAAATGTAGCCATTTCAAAAAACTAGACTATGCTTAAGCGTAGAATAAAACAAATTAATGAAAAATTACTAACCGTTAATAATTCCAGGAGACACTGTAAAATACCTTCCAATATTGCGTAAAAAAGACTGGAAACATTTTTGACAGCGGTCAATTAGCTCGCACATGGGAAATAATTGTAGAATAAAATATGACTCTATTAATAAAACAGTTCACGTGTTAATGCCAAAATCTATTTTTATATAGGCCAAAAAAAGTACTCTACAGAGGCAGATGCAACTTATTTTAAAAACGAAACAGTGATGAGTTATTTGAAACAGCTACATTTGCCCCCTAGGTAGAGTAGCCCCGGAAGACCTAAGTAGGTATTAAATAAAACGTTTGCTTTTCTAAGTTATATAAGTTATTTTTTGAAGTTCACACATTCCATCCTTAGCTTGAAACACAATTTTCATTCGCACCTAGTTTTCTGTGAAATCGAGCATAATACTATAAAAAAATCGCCTCCCCATCGGAATTTGCGTGCGCATAGAAGCTGTTCATTTTTCAATTCGCTTACAGATGATCTCGTAAAGTTTCCGAGTAAAATGGCCCGGGTGTCTGAGGACTCCATCCTGCATTCGTCCGTCTTGATACAGATGCTGAGCGACTGCGGCGACGACCTCGTGTGCACGCCGTGGTTGGAAATGACCGTGGAACCATTGGTGAGGTAGGTTTGAATTATCGTTATGGGTCTTTCACAACAGCATTTTTTTACAACTGGTATACTACTGGTATCGTTAAATTTATGATTAAATGGTTATTACGAAAAAATATGAACATCAGAAGATTATGACAAAATTGTTACTTACCGTGAGTAATTTTTAATTTCCATATAGTAAAGTATAGGCACAGTTCTGTTTATACCGAGTTATAAAAAGAATTTAAAATGCTAGATAGTCATAACAGGCTTATAAATTTATTTGCAAAGATTGTAAGTACCTACTCTTAGATTTAATTTGAGCTGTGTATACTATCCCATAAAACTAAAACTTCAGAGAAATTGAAACGCCTTTATCTACAATCTCCATATTGTGATTTAGGAATATTTAATGTTTGAAAAGACCATTAATAATTTTAATATCCTTATTGCTCTAAAATCTCTCATCCTTCTCCACGGATACAATATCTCAGAACTGTATTAGTCCAGGATTCAGTTTTATTCTAGACTACTAACACTATACTAGTCCAGAATTATTTAAATTCTAATAAACGCGTAGTAACCCTTTAAAAAAATATTTGTTTCTACTTAATTACATGTATCTACTCAACTTTATAATTGGAAACGAATGAGAAATAGATATATCGTTAAAAGTACCTAATCGCTTTCATTTTAACAGCCCATTCGTCCCAGGCGCGAACACAAAGCTCGGATTAACCATCACAGTCCTCAACAAAGAAGAGCCTGCATACAGCGTGAAGCTAAGCGTGACTCTCCCGTGCCCCCCTCGAAGGTTACTAGAGTTATGTTCCCTACAAGACCTAGTCATGACATGCGATCTACCAGCGCCTCTGAAGAGAAACGAAACCGCAGTATGGGAGGTGGAACTAGAATATGCGTGGGACGGAACTGATGAGAAATTGAAGGTCACAGCGGAACTTCAAGACCCGCAGTACATGAGGAACGTCAGCGAGGGTCCGAAGGAACTAGTGATACCGATCGCGCCGAAGAGTAACTTCGTGTTGCGTGGGTGAGTTACTGGGTATATGTAGTTTGTCACAAAAATAAAAGGAAGAAAAACAGTAAATTTTGTGTCGCCGCACACGGGCCACACGCCACAGCCACAAACGCTGCCACGAGAAGCTAGAAGCGGCTATTAAAGTGGTTGAAGCGTGCGACAGCGGCCGACTGAGGTAAGGGAGAGAGGGGTGGGGAATCGCGCGAGTGATGTGTGGCGGCGTTTTGTATCGGCGCATTAAGTGGCCGTCGCGGGCCACAAGAAGCGAGCAACGACGATTTGTAGCGTGTAACGGCCACCGGCGTACCGTGTGTGGAGTCCATATAAAATGTATGAAAACTACAAGAAATATGCCGGTGGCGGCGTTTTGTGGTTGTGGTCGGTGGGTGTACGGCGACACTTAGATGTGTTCCAAATGTATCGATCAAATTACAAAACAGATTTTGTTGATAGAAGTGTCAATAAATTCATAACTTATTGTCTGGATGACATAGATTTGACGACCTCCGTGGCCGAGTGGTTTGTACGCCGGGTTTCATGGTGTTGCCGACTCGAGAGGTCCCGTGTTCGAATCCCGGTGGGGGCAGATGTTTGTGTGATGAATACGAGCATTTGTAGTCCAGTCATGGATGTTTAATATGTATTTCTATAAAAATATAATTATATATGTACAGTATATGTATTCTATCCGTTACCCTAGCATTCCATAACACAAGCCTTACAGTGCTTACTTTGGGGCTAGGCTAATTGGTGTGAGTGTTGGAAATATTTATTATTTATTTATTATTTGTCGAGCTACCTTCGAAAAACTTTTATTGAATTGAATTGGCGAAACAAACTCCGAGATACTTTCTACCAGAAAGGTCTCCCAATTTTGGAACCGGTGGTAGTTTACGGTAGTTAGGGTCAAATAAATAAGTCAAAATTACAAAAAAAGAATTTTAAATAAAGTTCTTTATTAACTAAATTAGCTAATAAATTCATACATAGACAATTAAGTTTTAAAAATCTTCCAATGAAATATCCGAACGCTCAATAAAAGTCTTTCGAAGGTAGCTCGACACTTGTACTCCAGTCAAGGATGTTATAATATGTATTTTCCATATTTATATATGTACAGTATATGTATTCTATCCGTTACCCTAGTTTCCCATAACACAAGCCTTACAGTGCTTACTTTGGGACTAGGCTAATTGGTGTGAGTGTTGGAAATATTTATTTATTATTATTATACTTACCTTTCCAATATTTGCATTTTTTACCAGAAATTAAGTATTTCTTTATAGGATTACGGCAGTGCTTTTGTAGCAAGACTAGCATATAAGCATGCGTGCTTTAAATTACGTAACCTTTAAAATTGTTTGCTTAGAATTCCTTAGATAGAGCGTACGATCACAAGTAAATTTATGAAACTTAATATCTAAGTAATAAAGCTTATTTTTGTTTGCGAAAAATGTAACTTAAAATAAATAGTATACATATTCATGTCTGATTGAAAGTGATTAGTTTAATAATGCCTTTAAACATAACGCACATTTTAATTTTTTCTGTTTCCGTAGTCCTGACAAGGAACCCTTATAGTTTCGTCATGTCCCTACATATAACCTGGGGATGATGTTTTTTCATTGTCTACCCTATCGTGTGGGGTATCGTGAAATTGGACCTTTAAAATGACTTAGGAGTTTCCAAGACTATTTTTCGATTTAGGGATCCTTTTGCGAAGTATTGAAACATAAAGTGTTGATTTTTGTAGGTTTCACTTCTATCACATTTGAACAACGTATAGGTATGTCCGTTTTTTTAACACGTATATTTCTTTTTATTTGTAGAAAATCGCAACCTAATATAACCATCACGAGAGATGCGTTTGAGAAAAACACAGATGTTTTATTTACTCATTACTTTGAGGTAAGTCACACGTAGTTTACTAACTAAAGTAACAGGCAGCAACCACGCCATAATACTTAAGTAGGTACGTTGACGTAATTTCAAAGATCGTTTTATTCTATATTTTTTCTTGACATAATTCTTCGTGACAACTTTCAAAGCAGTTAAAACAAATAAGTATCATCCTATTATAATTCCGTTGGCTTAGTAATATAGTCTAAGATCCGAGCCTACACTTAGATTAAAAGAAAAAGGGAAGATACGGCATTCGCGGCTCAAAGGTGAACGGCTTAAATTGTGGTCCACGACCATAATTCGCTTTAGTCACAATTTGACATTCAAACACGCTGCATACTGTACACTCAATATAACAATATTGCGTATATTCTGTGTTATGAAGATATAACAATGCCTTCGATGCTTTTATAAACAACACAAATAGTTCAAAATCAAATGCCCCGGCAACACTTTTCATTCGTAAAACATTTTTTTCTCAAAAATCACGGTTTGTCGTGAATATTATTTTCGTAATCGCCATTTTGTAAGCAAGAAAAGGACAACAACACGCTGCGTTGAAGCGTATAGTTCTGTCTCGCTCGCTCGATTGATGTTTATATGTTTATTTACAGACGTGTGCATGGCGAGAGTTGCTTATGTAGTTGAGTCGGATCATTATTTTTTTTTATGCTAGTATGAGCGTACCGTATCTACCCTTATTGTTTTAATCTAAGAGCCTACATCGATCTTCACCAAGCTGATAATAGAATGAAGCATATTTTATCATGAATTTAGTATATTAGAAAATATATTAAAAATGGATTACCTAAAAAATCCTGGACAGATTACATGTAATTAATTCAAATAAATATATTTTAACTTAATGTTGCAACATCAACATAATGTTGGGCAGCATTTGGGAAGCTACGTCAAGTCCTGACATCGTCGATCCCATCACAGTGCCTAAAGACGAAAGTCTTCAATCAGTGCGTCCTACCTGTGATGACATACGGAGCCGAGACGTGGACACTGTCGGTAAGGCTGGTCCACAGGTTCAAAGTCACTCAGCGTGCTATGGAAAGGGCTATGCTCGGCGTTTCTCTGAAGGATCGCATCAGAAATGAGGTAATCCGACAGAGAACCAGAGTTATCGACATGGCCCACCGGATTAGCTATTAAGTGGCAGTGGGCTGGCCATATTTGCCGAAGAACCGATAACCGTTGGGGTAGACGAGTTCTGGGGTGGAGACCGCGTCTAGGCAAACGTAGTTTAGGACGTCCTTAGGCAGGGTGGAGTGACGATTTGCGCAAGGTGGCTGACAGGAGCTAGATGCGAGTAGCCCAAGATCGATCTGTGTGGCGTGCATTTGGAGAGGCCTATGTCCAGCAGTGGACTAAAATGGGCTGTTGATGATGATGATGATGTTGTAACATCAATATAATAAGAAAACGTTCTCGTGGCAGTATTTGCAGCTCTTGGAGTTTCCATTATTTCCCAGGGCAAAGTAGCTAACTACTGGGTTGCCAGGTATAAACAGGTATGTAGATGCCGGTTACGTTACCTAACGGCTGCACATTCTATACGTTTTATACTTTAAATCAGGACAAATCTTATATTTATCTTTATGTTATTTTTTTTTATTTAATCAAAAATATAGTTTTCCAGAAGGGTTTTTAGGCAACCCATTTTTAATAAATATTCTAATATAGTAATTCATGAAAAAATATGTTTCATTCTATTATCAGCTCGGTGAAGGTCGTTGTAGGTTCGGATCTTCTACTAAAAGGAGTCCGTGTGTCTGTCTGTCTGTAATACCCGCCATACACACTACGAGAAATCGTTACGATCAGACTGTACAGTTCGAACGGAACAGTTTATACGATTTCGTTTAGTATAGGAAACTGTGCAGTTTTATAACATACACGCTACGATTTATCGGTACCTTTCGGACTGTACAGTCTAATCGTAACGATTTCTCGTAGTGTGTATGGCGGGTATAATAAGCAAACAGCCCGAAAGAAGAGTTTTTACAGATAACGCATTTATGGACATAGGCCTAGAATGGTGATGGCTTATTTATATTTATTCTATTTTTATAGCGACAAATAACAAATTTGTGGAGGACCTGGAGTTGAAAGAAAGATATATTTGTTCCACTAATTGTTAAGCTACTTTTTACCTACTTTAATTTTTTTTAGATAACAAATGAAGGTCCATCAGATTTCTATCACGTGAAAGCCGTGGCATATCTTCCTGAAGAGGCTATTTTAACAGATTCTATAGAGGGAGCCACTTTAGAAGACAACGTTCTGAAGTTCAATGTCGAGAAGCTGAGGGCCAAGACTACGAATACTTATTTTTTACTTTTAAAATATGACATATATAAATTCGGTTAGTATTATTTTCTATTTGCGTTGTCCTTTTGTGTCCATTATTCGTTTTAAAGTAAGTGTCGCCACACATGGGCCACCGACCACAACCACAAAACGCCGCCACCGGCATATTTTTTTTAGTTTTCATACATTTTGTATGGACTTGCCACACACGGTACGCTGGTGGCCGCCACACTCTATAAATCGTCGTTGCTCGCTTCTTGTGGCCCGCACCGGCCACTTAATGCGCCGATACAAAACGTCACTCGCGCGATTCCCCACCCCTCTCTCCCTTACCTTAATCGGCCGCTGTCCCGCGCTTCAGCCACTTTAGTAGCCGCTTCTAGCTTCTTGTGGTGGCGTTTGTGGCTGTGGCGTGTGGCCCGTGTGCGGCGACACTAAGGGTTCAATATATTGGTTCTCACAAACAATGGTCTGTTTATCTGAAAACGACACTATACAATAATGTGGATACATTTAAAGGCCGATGATAGTGATTGTTCTTACAACACTTAAGAAAGATAAAAATGTTTTTCATAATTATTATTTATTGTTTAAGGTAACCAACTGGAAAATACATTAACTATGAACGTGACGTCGAAAGTGGACATTTACCTACAACACTACCACGCATCTGAAACCTACAACGCGTAAGTTATTTAATTATTATCAAAATATTAAAACACAGATGAAATAAAATGTACTTATGTATATTGTTTTAAACTTTCTTGGTCACTAACATTATAGTAATATAAGTTATTTACGGGATTGTTACCATGTACCTTGTTTTTAGCGGGTTTCCGATATTTCGGCACTGTTGCAAGCGCCGTGCGCGCGTTGTAAGCGGCGTAATAAGTAATAATTTGAGTTACTAGGAATATCAGAAACTCGCTAAAAACAAGGTACATGGTAACAATCCCGTAAATAACTTGTATTACTATAAAATGTACTTACTTACCTACTCTTTTTAAGTAAGTTATTTTGTGTATAATTAGGTAGTATTCGAGAAAAATATTCTCAAAGATTACAATAATTATTCCCAGTGAAAATAGGAATGTTACCATTATTCATAATCATCAGCCTATTAAGTCCCCACTGCTGGGGTACAGGCCTTCCCTATGGATGGAATAGGGAGATTGGGCCATCCACCACGCGGGCCCAGTGCGGATTGGTGGGTGCTAACGACTGCAGATGCAGCCGGGACCAACGGCTTAACGTGCCTTCCGAAGCACGGAGGAGCTCGAGATAGTAATTTTTGGTCACCCATCAAATGACCGCCCACTGCGAAAGTTGCGTAAGTTCAAACGATCGCAGCCGAACGCGCTAACCACTTGCGCCATCGAGCTCCTCATTATTTATTACATTATTTATTTTGCATATTCGAAAAAAATATTCTCAAAAATTACAATAATATTACGAATATTCCCGGTGAAAATAGAAATGTTACCATTATTCATAATCATCATCATCAGCTTATTAATGTCCCCACTGATGGGGTACAGGCCTTCCCTATGGATGGAATAGCTAACGACTATAGATGCAGCCGGAACCAAGGGCTTAACATGCATGAACTGAAGGAGTATAGACATAAGATCCAGCGTTTTGTGTGCATCACATATCCCAACGATTACAATAAGTTCTGAGGAGTTATTCTCCCTTATCCTTCCATCACCTTTCCTTCAGAGGACCACGCGCGCTGGCCTACGTTGCCACCGGCTTACTGTGGCTGTATATTCCTACACTAACAAAGAAAGGACATTGGGCAAAAATGTATGGACGCTGCACCCACGCCCGCCACGGCTTAAACTACATTTGTTTGAAAGGTATTATAGTCATGATCATCTGTGCCAAAGCGCATCAAATTACACCCCGGGGGTCTTTAGTTATTTTAAGTTAAATAGGTAGAAGTACTATAACGAACGAACATTAATGAAACAAGGGTATTAATTTAGTTAGTTTGTTCGACCCTACATAGGGGTCTCAGGTATTATGGGAGTACTTCACAAGGTGCAAGGGTGCCCCCAATGATATTCTGCCGCGCTAAAGTAAATCCAAAAATCCCCGCATGGGTTGGGGTTTTTTCAAACATTCTGTTCGTTATAGTAAATTGTCTTCTATGTAAAACGGAGCGACTACAAATCACACAAACTTCTCCACGCTTCGGAGAAAACATGATTCCAGTTCATCCGTACTAATTGACAATCGTGTTCCAATGTCCAAAGCGTGTTAGATAAAAATCAATCAAGTGACAGGGAGCGCACAATCACAACGAAGTAAGACGAGTCGACTATTTGCTACTGCAAGTCCTTCGTAAACACCCGTAAACCGTTTTGAGGTGTCTCAGTAAGTGCAAGCACAGGATGGTTGTATAGTACGATATGGCATATTATTAAGGTTACTAATAATATAAAATGAAGGTACTATAAAATGAATTGATTTAGCTACTTAAATATGCCCATGTGTCATATCTTTTGACTACCAGGATATTTTTTACGGTGTCATATATCTTTTGACTACTAGGATATTTTTTTACGGTGTCATAATAAAAAAGGCTAGTTTTTCATAGATCTATCGATTCATACTAATTACATTGTTGGCGGTGCTGGTTGTGTTTTGCCCATTGTCCTTTGGTGACTTAGTTTTTTGTTATACTATTCGAAAGTGGTTAACTTTGCCCGCGCACGTGTTCCCTCCTTCCTACAATCTGGGGTATTTTAAGAGAGGCGTGAAGTAGCATTTTTGCAGGCCGGCAAGGTGAGGATGGAAGGTACCAACTATCTTCGCGTTTGGACTTTATCACCACCTAACATCAGAGTCATTTGCCTACCTGGCAATATAGAAAGAAAAATAAGATAAGATATGATAAAAACTCTTTATTGCACAACCCAGTAACAAAGCAAGCAGATACAAAATAAGTAGAAAAATACAACACTGCACAAAGGGCGGTCTTATCGCTAATGAGCGATTTCTTCCAGACAACCCAAAATGTTAATATTGTGGCTCTCCTTTCGTAATGACCGGTAATTAGATGGGTGACTAAAACATATTATCTCCAGCTCCTTCGTGCTTCGAAAGGCACGTTAAGCTGTTAGTCCCAGCTGCATCTGCAGTCATTAGTACCCACCGATCCGCACTGGGCCGCGTGGTGGGTCATAGCCTGTGCTTCAGAAGTGGGGACATTAGGCTGATGATTATGAAATGAAATGAATCCCGGGATTTTCGGGATTGATATATTTTTTTTATAAGTCAATAAAAATATGCGTGAACGTTACTTTCATTTGACGTTTTCACTGCCATCTTGTTTACACAGCTGACTTCATTTATTTTTGCTAACGACCGGTACCGGATTATGTGTAAAAGTATGAAAAAATTCCGCTTCACGTCGTGTAAATAGTGATATTTTTTTGTTAATTGCCTAAACGCGCTTTTTCCGCCTCTTCCTATTTGTGCAACAAATTAAGAAGTATGCTTTCGGATGAGACTTTGGATGCATTGTTATTCCTTAGATTTTGTTTTCGTAGCTTAAATAAGTAATTTATAAAGTTTCTGGTCTATTTAATTTTAAATATGAGAACCTATAAACATTGATCACTTTAGCATATAATCTTTTTTAAAGTATATCTAAACAAGTCTTCAAAAGTTGATTTTTTTAAGTTTGTTGTTAAATAAAATAAACTTGAAGTGAAAGTATAAGAAGTGCCTAATTTCGTTTTTAATATTTAATATTTAAGTATAATTTTGTATTTTTTTTTTCTAAAGATTTAAAATAAAAAGTTGATTTTGATATGTTTTACTGTCTTTTTGTTACCACTTTCTATTATCAATACAATCCCGGGACTATCCCTGCATTAACTGTAGTTAATCCCGGAATCCCGGGATTAGAAAAATCGACAATCCTCTAGTTTTAGTATACTGACGCGAATTAATATTCACTTTTGATTTCGTATTTGCTATGGTGCCACGCATTGCGTGTTCCGTGCGCTCCGTCTGGCTTTTATTTTGTAATCTGAGTAATGATCTAAAATAATAATGTTATCTCCACGTTTCAATACAGATCTAGCAACGTGACCACTACGCTGTTTCTGGAACCAAAAACGCCGATCTGGCCTCTCATTGTAGGCTTGGTGGCGGGACTGTTGCTGCTGGCTATAATCATACTAGCTCTATACAAGGTGAGTCGGTACTACATGATAATAAAAGAGGCCGGCCATAGCGACGACGATTTGACGACCTCCGTGGCCGAGTGGTTTGGACGCCGGTTTTCATGGTGTCGCCGACTCGAGAGGTCCCGGGTTCGAATCCCGGTGGGGGCAAATGTTTGTGTGATGAATACGAGCATTTGTACTCCAGTCATGGATGTAAAATATTTATTTCTATGTAAATGTACAGTATATGTATTCTATCTGTTACCCTAGCATTCCATAACACAAGCCTTACAGTGCTTACTTTGGGGCTAGGCTAATTGGTGTGAGTGTTGGAAATATTTATTATTTGTCGCTACCTTCGAAAAACTTTTATTGAATTGAATTGGGGAAACAAACTCCGAGAGACTTTCTACCAGAAAGGTCTCCCAATTTTGGGTGGTAGTTTACAGTAGTTAGGGTCAAGTAAATAAGTCAAAATTACAAAAAAAGAATTTTAAATAGAGTTCTTTATTAACTAAATTAGCTAATAAATTCATACATAGACAATTAAGTTTTAAAAATCTTCCAATGAAATATCCGAACGCTCAATAAAAGTCTTTCGAAGGTAGCTCGACACAGTAAATAAAAAATCATTATTCTGACGATGCAGACCTGAAAAGGCTGCGAAACGTAAATAAATAAATTTCGTGCATGAACCATTTAAAACTAGTTTTATTTAATGAGTCATGTGCGTGAAAACCTTAAAAACAAATATGTTAACCACGATTTGTTAATTAAAAAATACGATTTCATTGATACGAAAAAACGTAATGTAACTTAAAATTTTAAACTGCCGTGTGAATTTGGTAAGTTAAGCGTTCCAAATGATTTCAAATTTTCATATCATTTAGATTTGACATATGATCAACACTAATTTTAATTTAAATCTACTTAGACATTGAAAGGAAACAGAAATTAAAAAAAAATGTGGTAAAACTGGCCCTGGAAGGCCCAAGAGGTGATACTTGATTTTTTTTGTAGAAAAGGTCCCTTTAAAAAAAATGTTTTCTGGCGCTTCGCCTTCTTCCTTATGGTCACAACACTAACTTTACCTAACCTAACCTAGTCTGAAGTATCACCACTTGGGCCCTGGAAGTACAGTTTAGCCAAAAACGCGACCACGCACCTTTTATCTGTTGCGCAAATATTTTCCTTGACACGAATCTCTAACTCTGTTACTACCTAAGAAATTTGTTATTAATTATTCACAACTCCTTGATAAAGTCTTGTAACGCTCGTAACATGTTGAAAATTTGATACTCCGCTGAAAACTAAGCACTTATGCCTACGGATCGAGCCTAATATCAATCCTAATGTAATTTTCAAGTAGACTCACATTTATTAAAATAACCTATTTAGAATATAATAGAATAGAATATAATTTTATTAACCCTCATATTACAGATATTACACATTTACAGATGCAAATTAAAAAAAACTCAGGGCTAACCAGGACCCTGCCTCAGCATTAGCTGATGCGACATTGTGTCGCCCCAGCGCTGTTATTCTGGCAGGGCCTGTTTAGTGACACAAAAAAAAGACATGTAAAAAAAAATATTACTTGAAAGGATGTATGGACTTAACATCCTTTGCTTTCAAGTAACAAAAAAAAAATATTTTATTATATTTCGATATGATATCTTCGCAGTGATATGATTTTCACGTAGCGCAAATTGATGAAGGGCTTCGATCAACAATACTACTAAAAGTTCGCGGAACGGAGGGAAAGAGTGTTGAAATTAAACATGATATTTATTTTCCTTTTCAATATATTCTCCCTTAAGCCTGATACATCTGTCAAATCTTTTAAATAACTTATTTATATCTTCTTACTTTGGGACTTGGCTAAATGGTGTGATTGTTACTAATATACTTATATTAAAATTTTCATGTTTTCAGTTCGGCTTCTTCTCGAGGCAGAAGAAAGAAGAGTTGAAACATCTCCTTCGCCGTTCGCAGGAAGACCCCTCTTCTTCCAGCAGCCCTTCTACCAACGACCCGAACGTATCAAGTCAAGAACTGCTGGATTCCGACACAGATTGACCCGATGATGAATAACTCAACTCAAATAAATACTAAGAAAAAAGAGAATATTTAAGACTGACTGATGTAAACGGTTAACTTCTTGTCATCATAATATTTTTATTTTTAAGCATTTAACTGCTAGATGTTTAAATCTAAAGAAAATTTTACTAGAAAAAATTGCACGCCGACCTAGCAGCCGACGGGATTTGAACCCGCACCCTTCGCTATCCGGGCGAATGCACTGACCCTGACCATTATGCTGCCGCGATCCTGATGACCGTATCGAATTTTCTCTAGCATTTCCTTTGGCTGCAAGGCAGCGCCCTCTCTTCGCATTGCCAGTTGATCAATGCATTCGCCCGGATAGCGAAGGATGCGGGTTCGAGTCACTTCTGCTGCCTGGTCTGCGTGAATTTTTTTCTAGTATAAAATATTCTTGTTGATTTTAATAATGGATATTACATATTATACTGGATTCTGCTGCATTTCCACCTAGTGCTGAAAATAACACCGAGCGATCAAGCATTCGTTTGCTCGGTAAATGGAATGCTCAAAACAACGTTGCGTTGTTGTCATTGATAACCTAGCAAAAGAGCATTCGTTCTTGTGTCCAGTCAAACATCCTTGTACGAATTCGAATCATCTATCAAACGACAGAAGATTCATAATTTCAAATTTTTAAAAATAATGACATTACCTTTATAATATAGCCGCCAGCCGTAGGCATTACATGAACAAAGAGTTTACCCAAAGAAAGAGGCTGTAACGCAACGGACGTTACAGTAGCTTTAATTTTTATTGGAAGACCTGTATAACAGAAGTGAGGACGTTTAATAATGATGAAATGTGGTTAATGTGATATTCTTCATAGCAAAACTGGTCTCAATATCTAATACGAAAATGCAGTCACCAAATATGCACCAAATTTTAGTAATAACGAAATGGATTGATATTTTAGCTTTTCAAAATTAGTGTTATGAAATATTTTCGACACTAGTCATAAATAAGTGTAAGGTAGAGAAAGAGATGTAAATTATTTTATTTTCTGAAACAAATGCTGTTGTTGATTAATAAAGGATTGAATAACTGTTACACATCATTAAATAAAACTAGTTTTAACAGGTTAATGCACGAAACTTTATTTATTTATTGACGTTTCGCAGCCTTTTCAGGACTGCATTGTCAGAATAAATGTTACACACCATATTAAGTAATTAAGATTCTTTGTATTTTTTATTTAATAATCTAACTAAGATTGTTCAATCTCATTAAGAAAAAAATATATTTCTAATGAATCTTTTCGTATTAAAGGTCAAGGTCCAAGGTCTCCTACCTTGGATTTCTGCCCAATTTTGTAATTTCGTACAAATTATAGCAAAACAATAAAAAGACTAGCTCATCAAAATCTCAATAAATAATTGTGGGTTACCTACAATGCGAAGAGATGGCGCTGCCTTGCAGCTTAAGGCTAGGAAAATTTCGACGCGGCGAATAGGGCCGTGGTAGCATAATGGTCAGTGCATTCGCCCGGATTGCGAAAGGTGCGGGTTCGAGTCCCGTCCGCTGCCTGGACCGCGTGGATTTTTTTCTAGTAAACTTTTCTTTAGATCTCAATAAATTCATTTAAATTGGTGAAAATCTGAATTAATATATCTTGAAAAAGGGCAATCTACGCATAAATTACCATTATTACCTAGACGCATGTTAACATTGACTGACAGTTGACACATTACTATTGGTTAAAATTCATTTCCTTTATTGTACTTAGTTGTATCAAAAATCACGAGACTGTTTTGTCATAGACCAATCTCACTGCCATAGCCATCTATGACATTGACTTTTAATATCCTTGGTACTCGGCCTTTTTGCCAACACTCAGTTATTTTACATACTTTTTATTTTGCTGGGATTGCAATATAATTATGTTAAATAAAACTAGTTTTTAACGGGTTTATGCACGAAACTTTATTTAATTATTGGCGTTTCGAGCTACCTTCGAAAGACTTTTATTGAGCATTCGGTTATTTCATTGGAAGATTTAAAAAAAAAAACAAAAAAAACTCTTCCAATGAAATAACCGAACGCTCAAAGGTAAAGGTTTGAAGTCTTTCAAAGGTAGCTCGACAAAATTAAATAAAAAATCATTATTCTGACGAAGCAGACCTTAAAAGGCTGCGAAACGTCAATAAATAAATAAAGTTTCGTGCATGAACCCGTTAAAAACTAGTTTTATTTAATGAGTGATGTGCGTGAAAACCTAAGAAACAAATATAGTTATGTTAATACTGATATATTGGAGCTTTTGCTGATCAGGTACATTTTTTATGATTTCCGTTGCTTATTTTAAAAAAGATGCACTTTAACTGTAATATATTATCTGTGTTGCCATTTATTTAAATGTTTAAGCGGAATTTTTATGTGGTGCAAGTGTTCAATAAATTATAAAATTAATAGAAGATTTATATAAAAATAAATACTTATTTATTGCATTCTAAAATAATAAGAAGTACTACAGAACATACTAGAATTAATGAAATACCTAGTTACTTACCTACATTTTATATTTTGTATATTTTTGGATAAATAAAAAGTAGAATATAAACTATACACAACTGAAATAATATTTGATTTTCAAGAATTCCTTCCTTAAACAGAGTTGAAATGTTGGGAACAAGAAAATACCTTAACTAGGTACCAAGTAATAAAGTTAGTTCGCTTAGTTCAGAAAGGATAATAATAATAATATTTTTTTTTATTTCTCTCCACAAACATCAAACGGATCATAGTAAACATAGGTTATTTATATACATACATTAACGTGTCTGTTGGAGACTGGAGTCTACACTAGGCAGTAGTCTACCTGTATTTAAGAGCTCCAGGCCTCCAACCCTCGATACAATTTTAAAACACTCCATAAAAACCTAATAGTATATTGCAAGTAGAATTATTCAAAATATTTATTAGATAGTAACATTAACAATTTCACATCTATCGATCGAGATATAACTTTTAGATAATTAGGAAGATTATAAACTGGTCAGCACCAGTTAACGTACTTTGTCACTATCATGTCCGATAGACTTAGCTCTCGACGCATCACCGGTACAGTGCCTTTTAACAATGAGACACAGAGATTGTCAATTAAGGTCACCAATCCAATTACCAGTATTAGCGGATGTAGCTAATGTCTGACGACTTCCTTGGTCGAGTGGTTTGTACGCCGGGTTTCATGGTGTCACCGACTCGAGAGGTCCCGGGTTCGAATCCCGGTGGGGGCAGACGTTTGTGTGATGAATACGAGCATTTGTACTCCAGTCATGGATATTTAATATGTATTTCTATATAAATATACTTATAAATGTACTGTATATGTATTCTATCCGTTACCCTAGTATCCCATTACACAAGATTTACAGTGCTTACTTTGGGGCTAGGCTAATTGGTGTGAGTGTTGGAAATATTTATTTATTTATTAAGCTTATCCCTTCGTTCGATCTGCGAACGCATTACCGCAGCTACGCTACCCACCTTCCCTTCTCAAAGAATACATAACCGAGAAAATGCTTAAGACAAGACTAATGTAATGAAAATAGCCATTAGCGGAACGTAACCGAGTAGTTATTCTATTTTCTCGGATGTCAGACCTTCGTCTCATTCGCTGCCCTTTTCCTACCCCCATTTTGGAATGGACGAAGACCCGCCATCCCTTAGATTGATTAGCGTTAGAGCACTGAAATGCCCTAGAATTGAACCGATTAATCCTTCTTTATCTAAATTTTATTATGTACTAGGGACCCGCCTTCGCTTAGGTGTAGAGCTGTAGTGTAAACTATAGTTTTTGTTCTCAGGCTTGTGCTATAAACAATGACTTTATTTATATAATTACACGTGTTATTGTGAGTCAACCATAAAAGATAGACATACGCTGTTGCGGGATATTTTTTAGACAATTTTATGTAGAATATTTCCGTCATACATGATTTCTATGTAAATTTAACCATTAAGGCTGCACACGCGACGGAAGCTTAAAAAATGGAGTAACTTCTCCCGTTTTCCCAACATTTCCCTTCACTACTCTGCTGCTATTGATTGTAGCGTAATGAAAAGTATACTATAACCTGCCCGGGAATATGAAGAATAATTGTACCAAGTTTCGTTAAAATCCGCCGAGTAGTTTTTGTTTCTATAAGGAACATACACACAGACAGACAGACAGACAGACAGACAAAAAATTTACTGATTGCATTTTTGGCATCAGTATCGATCATTAATGACACCCTGATAGTTATTTTGAAAATATATTTCATGTACAGAATTGACCTCTCTACAGATTTATTATAAGTATAGATTAACAAAGAAGCAAATTACATACTAAGATAATGACGACTTTTCTCGTTATGAATCTTTTTGTTATCAAAATAATGCTGATAGTTGGATGGCCCGTTTGGTTTATCTAAATTTCATTGGGCATTTAACATAACAGCAAATTACACACTAAGATATTGACAACTTTTCTCAATATTAATGTTTTTTTTTTAAAGCATGTAACTGCTTGATGTTTAAATCTAAAGAAAATATAACTAGAAAAAATTCCACGCGGACCAGGCAGCAGACGGGACTCGAACACGCACCCTTCGCAATCCGGGCGAATGCACTGACCAATTATGATACCGCGGCCCTCACGGACCGCGTCGAAATTCCTCTAGCCATTCTTAAGCTGCAAGGCAGCGCCATCTCTTCGCATTATAGGTAACCCACAATGTCAAATGAATACTTTTACAAGTATTAAACATTTGAAAGAAGAAATAGCAATTATAGTTATAATTAATGTTTTTGTTAAGAAGATAAAGCTTCAAGTTGGATGGCCCGATTGGGCTGGCGTTTAATGTACTTATTTGCCAAAAGGACAATGGGCAAAACGCACCCAGCTCCGCCAACAATGTTATTAGTATGAATCGATAGATCTATGAAAAACTAACCTTTTTTATTATGACACCGAAAATAAATATCCTGGGAGTCAAAAGATATGATACCGTAAAAAATATCCTGGTAGTCAATATATATAACACATGGGCATATTTAAGTAGCTGAATAAATTCATTTTATAATACCTTCATTTTATATTATTAGTAATCATAATAATATGCCATATCGTACTATAAAACCAGATATACGACAAAGCCTGCCGACCATCCTGCGCTTGCTCTTACTGAGACATTTCAAAACGGTTTACGAATGCTGAAGGACTTGCAGTTGTAATAGTCGACTCGTCTTACTTCGTTGTGATTGTGCGCTCCCTGCTACTTGATTGATTTTTATCTAACACGCTTTGGATATTGGAACACGATTATCGGTTTTGTCAATTAGTATGGATAAACTAGAATTATGTGTTCTTCGAAGCGTGGACAAGTTTGTGTAATCTGTGGTCGCTCCGATTTACATAGAAGACATTTTACTATAACGAACAGAATGTTTAAAAAAAAACAACTCATGCGGGGATTTTTGAATTTACTCTAGCGCGGCAGAATAACATAAGGGGGCACCCCTGCACCTTATGAAGTACTCCCATAATTCCTGAGCAGCCTATGGAGGGTCGAACTAACTAAATTAATTCCCTTGTTTCATTAATGTTTGTTCGTTATAATACTTCTACATATTTAACTTAAAATAACTAAAGACCCCCGGGATGGAATTTGATACACTTTGGCACAGATAATCTTGACTATAATACCTTTCAAACAAATGTAGTTTAAGCCGTGGCGGACGTGGGTGCAGCGTCCATACATTTTTGCCCAATGTCCTTTAGGTTCTTGTGGGATTCTTAAAAAAATAAAGTTATTGTGCACGAAGTCGCGGGCGGTTGCTAGTTGATCATAAATCTCGTTTATCCTCGTAAAAATATGATAACTTCTAAACAAAAATATTGAGTAACCCGAAGGCACTGTCAACCTTTCTCTTAAAAAGTTGGACGAAAGTTTTGACGCGAGGAAACTTCCTTAGAGGAACATAATAAATAACTGGAACACGAGAAACTCTTATTTAATTATAGCTGTGCCCCCGACTTCGTTCGCGAGCAATCACGTTTCAAATGGGAATTCGGATGAAATTATTAGTCAGAGGATTGAAGAATTTACACGCCACAGAAGACTTTTCAATAAGATTTCATGATCAGTTATTTTTTCGTTTGATGTTTTCAAATGCTTAGATACATTTTAAAATTACATTTAACTAAGCTGCAGTTCGCAAATCATTAATAGTTTATTTTATTATGTACCACATGAATCACTCTTATAAATAATAATTATGATTATAAAGCTTACATTTTCATTTGCCTTCAGAATTTGATTAGGATATTATAGAGGATTATCTATTTAAATTAGATATTTTAGAAAGTAAGCTGGCGAATGCGTTACGCGTTACGAAAACTGTGTTTTGGCGAGGCGAACGGGAGTTGAGTGGGGGATATAAGCAAGTGTCGCGACCCTCTTGGGGGCGGGGCTGCCAATGCAGCCCATATCCGTGATACAAACGTATCCATCGTGGATCGCGAGATTTTGGCGATAGACACGTGACAAAGGGAGAATCGAGAGACGAAGGGCTGATTACTTACCATAGATTATATTGTATGTACCTTCAAGCACCAGCGAATGTCCGTCCATGCCTCTCATCTCTTTCTTACTCCATCTGTAAGTATAAATAAAATTATGACACCACTGCGTGGTGCCACTAAGACCCGGAGTCACACCATCACCACGATATGATTCCAGGATTCATAGCACACATAAATATTGTCATAAATGAGTATCAAGATCATCTAATATGTCAATTATCCATGTTAACTCAACAATCTACTTTAGCTGTCTAAACGATGCGGAGATTTCCTAACATGACTTTATGCCATGTGTCCTACGCTCCTGCAGAGCGGTGTGAGCATGAGAGCCAAAGCCGTCGCCTGCTCCCCACGCAACCCCTGCATGTGTGCGCCCACATGCAAGAGTCGCGTCGCCCACTTCTTATGGCACTACTATGGAACGTCTCCCATCTGGCTCAGCCACTATTCCAGCTCCGTCCAGACATAGCGCTGCGCATGCCATAACACTCTCTCTTGTGGTCTTTCGGTAGGGTACCCTAGGACTTGCCTCCTGCAGAAGCACAAGCGCCTGTGGCATTGACATAATTATAACAATTCACGCCCTTACGCCGGGATGCAGGGATTTACAAACTCCACGGTCCTCTATTCTATACTTTTCCTGCCATCTTCTCCGCCTTATCTTAAGCAGTGTTCCTCTTTTCTATCCTCTTCTTCTCAGCTCTCGCTGCGATCCTCTTCTAACCTTCTTCTTGAAATTCCCTGTCACTCTTCTGACTTCTTTTCTTATTCCTTTTCTGTGCACGCTGCTCGGCTGTGGAATTCTCTCCCTGAAGGAATCAGAAAGGCTCGTTCATTTAATTCCTTTAGCGATCAAGTTAAAAGCTATTTCCTTTTTGTTTCTTAAATTCATTTAGCATCCCATTTCTTTGCTTCTCTTGAATATTCATCATCATCATCATCATCATCAGCCTATCTTAGTCCACTGCTGGACATAGGCCTCTCCAAATGCACGC